GCGCAAGTCTAAATCGTCGCCATCAAACTATCGACCAGTGTCGTTACTGAGCATCCTCTCCAAGGTCATGGAGACCATAGTCAACAGGGCAATGAGCAACTTCATGGAGACGAATCACGTCCTGTCAGAACGGCAATTTGGCTTCCGTCGCGGCCACAGTGCAGCAGACCTGCTGACTGCTCTCCACCACCAGTGGGTGCACACCGCCGGAGATAAAGGAGCTTCTCGAGTGCTGGCCATCGACATTGCTGGAGCATTTGACCGAGTGTCTTACACTGGTGTGTTGCACAAGGCTAGAGTGTATGGCATCTCGGGAGACCTGCATCGGTGGCTCCAAGCCTACCTCTGCAACCGCACACTTCAAGTCCTCATCTCCGGCCAGACATCAGCCAGACGCCCAGTTAAGGCTGGGGTGCCACAGGGCAGTATCCTGGGCCCCACCTTATTCTTGGTCTACGTCAACGACCTTGAAGACCACCTCCCAATCGGCTCGAACCTTGCCTCATTCGCCGACGACACAACCCTATACGCCGAAATTGCAACGCTCGCTGCTGTTCATGACAACGCTAGAGTACTCCAGGCTGCTGTCGACCTAGTATCCAGTTGGGGCTCGGATTGGAAAGTGCAGTTCGAGCCAGCCAAATCTCAGGCCCTTACAATTTCCCACCATCGTCGGGACTGGCCAATACCCCCATTGTCTTCAATGAAACTCCTGTCGAGGAGCAGCCCTCCATCAAAATACTCGGCGTCACGTTTGACCATCAGCTAAAATTCAGCCAGCATATCCGAACTGTTGTAGTCCGAGCAACGCAGAGACTTGGAGCCTTGCGCAAGGCATTTCACTTGCTGAATATTCCTGCCCGGCTTCGAGCCTACAAAGCCTTTGTCCGACCGGTTATGGAGTACTGCCCAATCGTCTGGATGGGGGCAGCTCCTTCCCACTTGAATCGGCTGGACTGGGTGCAGGAGCGAGCCATCAAGGCAATACATCCGCAATGCTGGCTTCCTAGCCTCATAATTCGCCGCACTATCGCTGCCCTCTGCCTCCTGTATAAAGCCCTTTGCGATAATTCTCCCGCACTTCTCTCGAGAATGGCTCCACCCCCAACACACCAACCCAGGACCACAAGCCTCACCCGCCAGGCTGTACGACTGTCCACCGCGCATCCCCATCAGTTACAGAATGTTCTTCCTGCCAATTCCCGGAACAATGTGAGCCGAGCCTTTCCCCACTCCGTCATCCCAATTTGGAACCAGCTGCCTACCTCTATCATTCCCCACCCATTTCACCCAAAGAACATCCAAAGGTTCAAGACAGCAGCTTATCACCATCTCCTCAGAACGAACTGGCACTGGGCCACTCATAGCATACGCGAGTAAGAGGGTGCAGTGTCCTACCCTGCTTGGACATACATGTAATCTCTCATCACAGACAGTCTCCTCTTGAATTTAAAAGTCTAACAGTGTTCACATCAATACTCAACTTATTCTTTTGCTCACTGAGCAATACAATCTTTCCATTTTCTTTCTTCTGTTTTCTTTTTCAATTTAATCCTCCCTACCCAATATCCCTTTGGTGTGTCCATGGAGCTATGAAGCCGAGACCTATGGTCGGCAGAGCTTAATGGGCCCCACCACCACACTCCATCATTCACCCCAGTGTCTGGAGATATGTGGATTTTGTAGAAAGAAAAAAAAGAAAAGAAAAACATCGCGCTGATCAGCAGCAGCACATCCCTGGACACGGTGTCTGCTACGCTATCGGCCTCGGTTTCTGCACTTGCTGACTGGTTGCAGACCCGTGGTCTCATTTTGAATGCAGCCAAGAGCCACGTGATCCCTGTATACCCCAACAGGCAGCCTCAGCAGCCCCAGCACACGATCAATGTAAACTGTCATGAAACGCCGATTCCTGTCGTTACTGCGGCCAGGTATCTTGGAGTGCTCCTCGACTCGGATCTGTCATGGACGCCCCATGTAACCATGTTGATTGCTGCACCGCTCGACTGGCCCAGAGGATCGGAGCACTATGGAGGTTGAGTCGCTGCTTGACTCATCAGAGCCGAGTTCTCTACTTTAAAGCGATCATCATGTCTGACCTGATGTACGGGTCCAATGCGTTTTCCCCACTTCTTACTGCCAACCAATTGGATCGGCTACAAGTCATGCAGAATCGGGCGGCAAGGGCGGTATTCGGATTCTCGCATCACACCTCCGCGCGTACCCTCCTGCGGAAATTGGACACCTACAGAGTATCCGAGATATTCAGGAAGAAGTTCATCGTTCTTGTCTGGACAGGAGGTCTCGGAATGGGCACGCACGTTCTGATCTGCAAGCCCTCCTAGTTCCTTCGTCAGCTGGCCCAACTACCGGTAGGTTGCACTCCACCATGGGTCTGCGCCAACCGCCAGTTTCCACCAGGTTCGGCAAGGGTTGCCTCGCGTTCCGGGGCGCCCAGCTGTGCAACACCTTACCCAGCGATATACATGTACGTGCCATCTTCACGCTCCGCCAGTTCCGCGCCAGCATGATCCCGCACACCCTTAGTACCTAGAGTACCAAACGTCCTGTTTGATGATCAGCTGGCTTAGTTTTTCTCCACCTCTATCCTTATTACATCAGTCCCCAATTTCATGAATTACTGCTTTCTATCTGCATTCGCCACCTTTTCATTGGGCAGATCTGCCCGTTTGGTTTGCGAATTAAAATAAACACAACAACAACAACAACAACAACAACAACAACAACAACAACAACAACAACAACAACAACAACAACAACAACAACAACAACAACAACAACAACAACAACAACAACAACAACAACAACAACAACAACAACAGCAACAGCAACAGCAACAGCAACAGCAACAGCAACAGCAACAGCAACAGCAACAGCAACAGCAACAGCAACAGCAACAGCAACAGCAACAGCAACAACAACAACAACAACAACAACAACAGCAACAGCAACAGCAACAGCAACAGCAACAGCAACAGCAACAGCAGCAACAACAACAACAACAACAACAACAACAACAACAACAACAACCACAACCACAACAACAACAACAACAACAACAACAACAACAACAACAACATGTATGAGCTAAAGTGAAAGTAGTGGAAAGAAAAAGTTGTTATGAAGGCTGTTGCAACAACAGAAGGAGCAGTACAGGCATGGTATGCAGATGATGCCAGATCCGGTGGCAAGCTGAAGAGTGCCCCCCCCCCCCCCCCCCCCAATATGGTTACTTCCCAAATCCAGCCAGGTCCGTCCTACAGTCCAGTCATCGGAAACTGTCCCGCTGGCTTTTGAAAGTCCGATTTGAGGATCAAAATCCCAGATGACGTCTCTGATGCTGATGCTGTGCTTCAGTCTTCATCTGTGGATGCTAGGTTTCAGCGTATCAGTGCTCTAGCGTCGGAGACGGGGGCTTCTTCCTCAGTGGCTCACCTGTCGTCCCTTGAAGCGGCATGGCTTGACCCTCACCAAGGGTGAGTTCCACGATGGAATTCATCTGAGATACGGCTGGCTTCCACAGCGACTGCCATCATCTTGCAGCTCTGGAGCCACATTTTCAGTTGCTCACGCTTTGTTTTGCCCAACCGGTGGGTTTCCGTCGATGCGGCACAACGAGGTGTGTGACCTCACTGCCCGGGGGGGGGGGGGCATATTATGCTGAAGCGAGTCGCTCACAATTAATGTATCCGTGGAGCGACCCACCTGCAGCCGGTCACTGGGGAGCAGTTCCGGTATTGCACCGCTACCAGACTGAGCAGGCCCGTCTCGACGTTGCGGCAAGTGGTATTTGGGGTGGCCGGTTTGAGCGCACCTTCATCAGTCAACGTGAGGGTTTTCAATCTTCATGCCTCCTCAAACCGTGCCACCTCCATTGCTTCCTGCTACACCAAGCACGAGAAGGAGAAGCGGCGCTGCTACGAGCAACGTGTCCGCGACATAGAGCATTCGTCGTTTGTTCCGTCCATATTTTTCTACCACGGGTGGTTTGGGCAAACACGCGGAGTCGCTCTACAAGCGGATAGCTTCTCTTCAAGCAGCCAAGACTGGAGAAGCATACAGCTGTGCCATGTCTTGGGTTCGCTGCAAATTGATTTTTGCCCTACTCCGGTCCAGCGTGATGGATGTGTTTGCGAGGATCCCGGAATATTCGGCCCGGCGGTGCAGTTGGACTCACCTCCCCGGCACTTTGGCGGTTGCTGAGGCAGGCATTCATATTTTGATACCATTTGCGTCTGGTTTTGTCTGTATTGGTTTCATTTGTGCTCTTTTCATCCTGCTACTACTGTTAGTATATGTAGTACACGGTAGGTTTCAGTCCGCTAGTATTGGGCGGCAGCACTCCAGCTCTTTGCCGCAGACAAACTAATTTAATTAATGACAGATAACTCGTGCATATAATGATCGCATCATGCGATCATAATAATACACCGCATAAAAAAGACTTTGTTATGCGCATATATGCATGGCAACCGCTGAGCTCATAATTTAATTAATGATTGAGCCTCTAGATCCGAAAAGGGGGCTTATGTCGTTTTGCGCAATATTCAGAAAAAGGCATTTGAAAGTTGAGTTTTCCGTATCAAGCGATGTATAATTCACTTTTGAAACACCCATAACTCTGTGAAAGATAAAGATTTTGGAGCTAGGTTTTTTACAGAGTGATCTGCTGCGGTACAGCAATGTCATGGTATGATCTTGAGGCTCAATTATTATTAATATTAATCATGCACATGTACCAAGAGGCAAGATGCAAGAGTACAATAAAGTACATGACTATTGTACTCTTGACATGTACTGGATCCATGGATCCATGCCATGCGCCATGGAGCCCCGGCATGGCATGGCCCCCATGACAAATTTTCGTCTGATATCGGCCTTTCCCGCGAAAAAAATAAAAATCGGCATTTGTTTGGATGATCATAAAAATTTAATAATGAGCTTACTTGCAAGAAGTGACCATGGTGACGTCTTGACGCTGATCATGGGCCGTTTTTCGTGCTGCTTTTTTGACTTCCTTTGTTTCTTTTCTGGAAAGACGTGAACAATGGCTTTGACTCTGGGATCTTTGCTGCAAGCTATCTTATTGATGGTCAACGCCATAGCCATTCTACACGAGCAGAGATTCTTGGCAAAAGGTAGGCGAAGTGCGACAGGCGTCCACCATACGTGTGTGGAGTGTTTCCATGAGTTCGTTTCAATGTGATTCGATTCGGTTTGTGGACTGTTTGAATTATAGTGACTTGGTGTCTAAGTCACAGCCCACTCGCTGCTAGTATTCTCTCTGTAACGGTAATGTCGAGCTCTGGATCAATGTTCTCCAAAGACAAACTCAATCTTGGGAGGGTTAGCGTTCGATTTGCAATACACTTTTAAACCTCGCGATTGCATAGTGAGTAATTTTCGACCTGTGAACTCTAAAGGCGAAGTCCCAGGGCATGTGTACTGAGTCAGTCGTATAATTCCTCTGCGTGCACGCAGGCATGAACACAGTACATGTACAGGAGTTGTTTAGAAAAAGAAGAAGTAAAGTCCGCACATCCGCATCATGTTGTTTTAGAACTTTGAAGCTCCATTGTCGTCGCCTTGTCATTTTTTACTTCACCTGCATCCATGTTACCAAGAGTCCGTAAACAAGAGTGTGCAACTGTGATCTCTTTTCTATGGGCCAGATGCGCGGCGCACTGCCGTTATTACGTCATTCAGCTGCAGTCCGCGCACTGCGGAAAAGCAAACACCGCACTGTCCGTCTGGTTTGAAATGAACTTTCGTACGGAACTGGAGTTCACGCGCCAAAACGTAGAGATTTCGTAGGTACTGGAACGATTCCAGCCAAAACGAATGGACTCGTACTAGAAATGTTGAGTTTGAGTGCATGCTTTCAGAGCATGATGAAGGCAAGTTACGTAATGAAGGCAGCGCGCCGCGCACTGTCCCATAACCACAGTTGCATACTCTTGTTTATGCACTCTTGATGTTACCCTCACGCCGCGTAGTGAGTACTTACATAAAGACGTTATTTTCGGTGTAATTTTTATTTCGGTAATTTTGCTAGAGTACACACAGTATGTGAAGGGTAGGTCACCTAAGGGCCCGGTCACACATGCACTGGGGTTCGCTTCGGCGGCGAGTTTCTGCGACAGCGTGCCTGGTGCCCCTCCAGCGAAACCATGTGTGTATGGTCACACATAAAAACACGGCAAACTCCTACTTTGGTGGAAAATGAGTGGACTGTGGTGCATACGGTACGGAGAATAGACGAGGCCAATGACTATCTTGCACGCATTTTTGTTGCATGGACATCATACGCATACAAACTTCTCGTAGCAAGTCCATATACAGCAGACCGTGGTGTTTTCCGCTGAAGCGGAAGTTCCGCTTTTCGCCCTTGCCATGCCATTTTTCGCTCCTGCGACCTCGCTTCAGCGTATACACTACTTTCGAGTGTATGTGTGACCGGGCCCTAATTCTATATTACACCTGAAACCTGGCAGGTCTCTGACACCGAATTTTAACAACACCTAAAGTTACATGTAATACAGTACACAAGAGAGAGATTGGAAGCTGTGTCGCTACTCTGAGTTTCACGTATTACGACGATCATCAGGCAACTTCAGGCACCATGCAACATCAGGCAACTATGTTGAGGCTGCCCGGTTTGGAGCCATCAGTTGCCTGATGATTGTAGTGATATGTGAAACTCAGAGTTGCGACACAGCTTCCAATCTCTCTCTCTCTCTCTCTCTCTCTCTCTCTCTCTCTCTCTCTCTCTCTCTGTCTCTCTCTCTCTCTCTCTCTCTCTCTCTTGTGTACAAGGCTCTGCCCTATATGGGTATTGAGCACTCTTCAGGCAGTGGAGCACACTACTTGATCACATGTTCTACAGTATCCAGTTGACCCTGAGTGTCGGAGCTTTGTTTAAGGCCTTAGAGCGCAAGCTCTCTTGGTTCGAAAACGCAATTTCTGACATGGGTTCCCATTCTGGGTTGATTGAGGGTAGATATTGCCCGTCTGTGGCCTGCACCGCATCACAAGTCCCAACGATAGATAATTGTACGAGGATGTCGAGATGCGATGTGCTTGTGTACATGTATTTGCCGCATTCATTATGTCTCTTCTCTCATCGCATGTGTCCTTGTCTGCGTTTGTTTCGTGCAGTGGGATGGGGCAGCGATGCGGCACAAACCTTCGGCGAACCCACCGTCAAGTCCAAGATCATCACGCTTATAAACTCTGTACGGACGCTACTGAGAGGTGAGTGAGCTGCTCAGACCTGCCTCTTTTCACCCGGGTTCTGGTATCGACCCGTTGAGGACCATTGTACAGATATACGAGTGAACTCCTGATAAAACGAACACTATTGTGCAGGACGATCACATCTTTATAGCCGGAGTTCTTTATAACGGAACTGTACTCACACCATACAAGCAGCACGTCATTTTTGCCACTTTTAAACCAAGAAATGGCAACAGCAGCCACCTTGGTCGGCACATTGGACCAACAACATATGGACTTACCATGCACGCTGTAAATCTACTATGCATGACTGTAAAGTTGTGTTCAACTGTCACACAGCCCGTGGGGTAGCAGTATCAGATGTACGAGGTATTGTGTAGCCAGCATCCTTTTTGTTTTAGAGACTTGAAAACGTCTTCTCTTTTTTAATTTGATATATTATTCGATATTTGAATTGCTACATGGGTGTTTTTGACATGGATAGTTTAGCCGATAGACGAAAGCTGATAATTATTGTTTCGCCTCTAGATTAATCAAACTCCCTACTCAACGAAATGCTTACCAGGATGTCCAGGTTACGAAAGAACATGGACGTGCTCATGACTACAGTGTTGGCGTTGGGCCAAGTGGTTTCAAGTGGTTTTTTGGGGTCTTTGACAAAGACTGGATGGGCAGATTTTTTTGTCGTTGCAAAGTTTGTGTAGGGGTTCTTTCTGAATACTAGCACCATTGCTGGTGTCGCTATTCTACCACCTCACGCAAATTGTGTTTGTGTCTGTCTGCTGTTTGTGTGTTTCCTCAGTGCCACTGATTGGCGTCAACGTCGTCGTGATTGCGTATGAATTAGTGCTAGGGTAACCGGTGTACTCTACAGCGGTAACGCTCTCGTCTCTCTCTCTCTCCCTCCCTCCCTCTCTCGCTCTTTCTCTCTCTCGCTCTCGTCTCTCCCTCTCTTTCTCTCTCTCTGTCTCTCTCTGTCTCTCTCTGTCTCTCTCTCTCTCTCTCTCTCTTTCCCTAGCTGCTAAAGTGTGGCCCTCACATCTTTTGTAAATACTATGTACAAAGTTTGTAAAAAGAATACTTCAGTATTTATTCATACCCGTTGTTTCTGTGACACGCCAACTATTTCCAACTTTAATAGGTGCTTTAATATTTTGACTGTGTGTGTGTCTGTGTGTGTCTGTCTGTGTGGGTGGGTGCGTGCGTGTTCGTATTGATGATTTTACCCGTGTCAATTGTTGCTGCTGTGAATGCTTTGATAGTGCACATTTTGCAGTGCTGTTGCTATGCACGCTTTCCCCTCAACCTGTACCCATTGACCATGATCGGCTTTGTTTATCTTTTAAATACTAGTAGCTGTTTCATAGTAGCGCGATTGTCATGCGGGTATTTGCAATGGTTATCACTCTGTTTACTACTCACGGTGCGGTTGAATGCTACTACTTTATCAACAGTTTGATCAAAGACTGTTGAGAGAGTTGATCTCGGAGACGTCGTTAAAGGGGAAGTTAAGGCAAAAATTAAAATTTCACCAGTTGTAGTCTTCGGGGTGCTGAGTCGAATGGTCTTGGTCCGAGAAAGCTGAGGCGCTCCCTTCCTACTTGAATCCCAATCGAACTCGCGCACTTCCACCGAAACTGGGTGACTGCGCCCTACGAGATGGGGATTTGTATGCAAAATGTCACTAAAAGCGCCATTTCGTTCTTATAAAAGCACGGATGACCGCGATTGGCCCATATGTTGTAGTCTTTTGGACGGTGAGTCGACTGGTTTTGGTCCGAAAAGGCTGCGATGCAGCGTTCGCCCCTAATTCCCAATCGAACATGGTTGAACAAGCGGTCACGTGCTCCTGCGTACACCAGTCACCTGGTCACCGTGCCTGCAGGGTACAACTTACAGCCTGTTTTGACCTTTTTTGGGTGCAGTCCTGTCACTCGAGTTGAACCTTGGTGTGAAAGTTGTCGCCTGCTGGCGTGGTGACCAGGTGATTTTGGCACCCAGGAGCACGTGACCGCTTCTTCAACCATGTTCGATTGGGAGTAAAGGAGGAACGCTGCATCGCAGCCTTTTCGGACCAAAACCAGTCGACTCAGCGTCCAAAAGACTACAACATATGGGCCAATCGCGGTCATCCGTGCTTTTATAAGAACGAAATGGCGCTTTTAGTGACATTTTGCATACAAATCCCCATCTCGTAGGGCGCAGTCACCCAGTTTCGGTGGAAGTGCGCGAGTTCGATTGGGATTCAAGTAGGAAGGGAGCGTCTCAGCTTTCTCGGACCAAGACCATTCGACTCAGCACCCCGAAGACTACAACAGGTGAAATTTTAATTTTTGCCTTAACTTCCCCTTTAAGTTCGATTGTTTTGGCTATAGTGTCTCCACTGCCACATGGGTCATGTGGGACCCGGAGGGGCATGAGAGAGAGAGAGAGAGAGAGAGAGAGAGAGAGAGAGAGAGAGAGAGAGAGAGAGAGAGAGAGAGAGAGAGAGAGAGAGAGAGAGAGAGAGAGAGAGAGAGAGAGAGAGAGAGAGAGAGAGAGAGAGAGAGAGAGAGAGAGAGAGAGAGAGAGAGGGAGGGAGGGAGGGAGGGAGGGAGGGAGGGAGGGAGGGAGGGAGGGAGAGAGAGAGAGAGAGAGAGAGAGAGAGAGAGAGAGAGAGAGAGGGAGAGGGAGAGAGAGAGAGAGAGGGTATGACAGAGAGTTTGTGCTGTATGCATACTATCAAGAGTATTATACCCTTCATACTACTGTAAAAGCCATTATTCTAACGAGGTGCATAACATATTAACGATTTCCCCAAATCGACTGGTTTACGTGTACCAAAGGTACACTCCAGCACTACATGTATAGGCAAGAGTTCATAATCCCCTGGGGATTTAAAATCTCGCTATACCCAAACAGAAGCAGCTGCGGCACTTCCTGGTGCTAGCAGACCCTAGCTCGACACGTATGGCAACTAGGGTGTGCATGGTTGCCCTTTGTAATTGCCCGCAACATACTATACAGTTCTGGCCAGAGAAATCCCGGCAACCCCATGAATAAAGTAGCGACGTGAGTTCACAGACCAGTATGTGCAGTGCTACTGCTAGGGCTGGGTAGCGCCCGGCGCTATTTCATTCATGAGGTTGGATTTCTTTGCCCATGCAGCACTATTTCCCGCCCGGTGCCATCGCCACCCTCCGGCAGACAACAGGCCTACGTTGAAACGGGGGCATTCTCACCAAGAAGAAAACTGAAACACAGCTCGACTGGAGAGACTAAAGACGAAGACGTACGCTCCACACCAGGGAGCACCCAAACACGTTTCTTTTAGTATGCCTGCTCCACAGCACAGCACCACGTGCCGCATGCACCCCGGCCAACACATACACCACACCCAGGTGCGTAGCACCGCCGTTGGAGGTGGTCCCCGGCCCATGAAAATAATTAGGGTGCAAAATCCTGCATTCTGGGCACTTCTCAGGGTGAAAAAGTGGTCCGGCCGGGGGACCCTGTGAAAATTTTCAAATAGGGTGCAAAATCCTGCATTCTGGGCACTTCTCAGGGTGAAAAAGTGGTCCGGCCGGGGGACCCTGTGAAAGTTTTCAAATTAGGGTGCAAAATCCTGCATTCTGGGCACTTATCAGGGTGGAAAAGTGGTCCGGCCGCTACGCCCCTGACACCGTGCAACAGTGTAGTAAACTGTGTGGACGAGTCTGCCGCGTACATGAATCATATACACCGTCACTGGATGAGTGCAGTGGGCCCTCTATAATCCGGCACCATTTGTGCCAGGGAAAATCTGCTGGATTAGGGAGGGTGCTGGATTAACAAATCTCATTTTCTGCTAGAATGTGCATGAAGAGGACATTTTGGCTACTGAAAATTGTGCCGGTTTATATCAAGGGTGCTGGTTTATAAAGTGCCGGATTAAAGAGGGACGACTGTAATAGAGAGCCAATAGTCAGTACCGTCTTTAGATCATAATGTGTCTCCGGCAAAACCGGTTTTAAAACTGTCAACAGCGCATGTGACAAAGACCACAACTCACAACGGGAAAAAAACTAAAATGCAGAGGAAACCAAGTCTACTGTAATCCACGCAGTATCGACTAGGCAAAACAAAAGAAAAAGAAAACCTTGTACTCTTGATTGCTATGATAAGAAAGCCAGTTGACACCGGGAAATGAACAGTGAGCCCAAGACCTGCTGTGGAAGAATGCTGGTCGAACGACTGTAGCGCAACATCGACCACCATGAACGTATGGGCGTGATTCTGTTCGGAACGACAGCAGTAACTATTACGGAACGGAATGAAAGCAGTCACTATTCTGTTTATACAACGCGTTGATCAAGTGTGTACTGTACAGCATGCTGGCAACCAAGTGATGGGGATGGATTGAGTGCTGCATGGCTTTAGATCTGTAACATACCAGACGTGCATGAGCTTCTAAAAGGAGTCAGGTCCTCTAGAAAATGTGTTTGTGCACGTGATCTCTTAGAGGACTACAATACACTAGGACACAAATCATCAAGTTCGGTCAAGGGTTTGGTCAACGGAAATCGCCAGTAGCGCACTGGAAATGGAGAGCAGCTCGTAGTCTTGCAGTTTAGAACCTTATGACAAGGGGACGGATCATCTACGTTCACTAAGACAAGTGCAGCCATTGGTGAAACCGAGCCCGGTCAAAACATGACCGTTTTCTGGACCGATGGCAGATAGGGACAGCGTGGAATCAGTTTGTTACAGCGGTGTGACTAGCAGGCTGATATTCGGAAACGTTGAATACGATGTTCAGGCGTCCAGGGCAGGAGCTTAGGTCTCCGTGCCCTGGCAAGACCAGCCATACATACACGGTACCATGCTGACACTTGGCAGGGGGCTAGGCTGTGCAGTACCCACACCGGAGCAAGACGTCAGCAGTAGAACACCATTAGGCATATTCCCTGTACTCAGTCAGGCTGGCTAGGCCTGTACAGCCGTATCACGAGCACACACACCCTTGCTGGGCCAGAGGTGAGTTCAGCCTAGACGACATAACAACCGGGTCACCAGTAGGGTCAGTGTACTGCCACAACATGGCCACGTGCACACAGACAGGTACCGCCTCCAACACAACACTAACAACATGATCACAAGCAGGGTGTGTGTTGCTACAACATGGGCACGTGCACACACGCAGGTGCCGCCTCCAACACGACACTAACAACATGATCACAAGCAGGGTGGCCGTTGCTACAACATGGGCACGTGCACACACGCAGGTGCCCCCTCCAACTCAACACTAACAACCTGATCACAAGCAGGGTGGCCGTTGCTACAACATGGCCACGTGCACACACGCAGGTGCCGCCTCCAACACAACACTAACAACATGATCACAAGCAGGGTGGCCGTTGCTACAACATGGCCACGTGCACACACGCAGGTGCCGCCTCCAACACAACACTAACAACATGATCACAAGCAGGGTGGCCGTTGCTACAACATGGCCACGTGCACACACGCAGGTGCCGCCTCCAACACAACACTAACAACATGATCACAAGCAGGGTGGCCGTTGCTACAACATGGCCACGTGCACACACGCAGGTGCCGCCTCCAACACGACACTAACAACATGATCACAAGCAGGGTGGCCGTTGCTACAACATGGCCACGTGCACACACGCAGGTGCCGCCTCCAACACAACACTAACAACATGATCACAAGCAGGGTGGCCGTTGCTACAACATGGCCACGTGCACACACGCAGGTGCCGCCTCCAACACAACACTAACAACCTGATCACAAGCAGGGTGGCCGTTGCTACAACATGGGCACGTGCACACACGCAGGTGCCCCCTCCAACTCAACACTAACAACCTGATCACAAGCAGGGTGGCCGTTCCTACAACATGGCCACGTGCACACACGCAGGTGCCGCCTCCAACTCAACACTAACAACATGATCACAAGCAGGGTGGCCGTTGCTACAACATGGGCACGTGCACACACGCAGGTGCCGCCTCCAACACGACACTAACAACATGATCACAAGCAGGGTGGCCGTTGCTACAACATGGCCACGTGCACACACGCAGGTGCCGCCTCCAACACAACACTAACAACATGATCACAAGCAGGGTGGCCGTTGCTACAACATGGCCACGTGCACACACGCAGGTGCCGCCTCCAACACAACACTAACAACATGATCACAAGCAGGGTGGCCGTTGCTACAACATGGCCACGTGCACACACGCAGGTGCCGCCTCCAACACAACACTAACAACATGATCACAAGCAGGGTGGCCGTTGCTACAACATGGCCACGTGCACACACGCAGGTGCCGCCTCCAACACGACACTAACAACATGATCACAAGCAGGGTGGCCGTTGCTACAACATGACCACGTGCACACACGCAGGTGCTGCCTCCAACACGACACTAACAACCTGATCACAAGCAGGGTGGCCGTTGCTACAACATGGGCACGTGAACACACGCAGGTGCCGCCTCCAACACGACACTAACAACATGATCACAAGCAGGGTGTGTGTTGCTACAACATGGGCACGTGCACACACGCAGGTGCTGCCTCCAACACAACACTAACAACCTGATCACAAGCAGGGTGTGTGTTGCTACAACATGGGCATGTGCACACACGCAGGTGCCGCCTCCAACACGACACTACAACATGATCACAAGCAGGGTGGCCGTTGCTACAACATGGGCACGTGCACACACGCAGGTGCCGCCTCCAACACGACACTAACAACATGATCACAAGCAGGGTGGCCGTTGCTACAACATGGGCACGTGAACACATACACAGGTGCTGCCTGGTCATGCCGGAGTTGTGTGACAATCACCGCTGACTGCTGCTACTTGCAGGCAGTCTGCCGCTCAGCGCGGTGAACAAGTCTATCAGGCGCAGTATGGCGTGGTCGGCCTTGTCAGCGATCAGCGAGTTGTAGTCCGTTCTGATTACGACAGTTGCTGCAAGAATACAGCAACACACACGCACATACACATGTACACCCACACCCACACACATGTGTACACACATGCACACACCCACACACCCACACACACGTGCACACACACACACACACACACCCACACACACACACACACACACACACACACACACATGTACACCCACATACGTGCACACACGTGCACCCACATGTACACACACACATGTATGCACACACACACACACACACGCACACACACAGAGCGCATGCAGGCACATCAACGCACATACAAACAAACACATCTCCATGAACACATCTGCGGCATGCACACAGTATGCAGGTGTACTGTCGTGGACATTGAAATCTGATGGGACGACCGGGGCCGGCACCCCTACTAGCTACTGATTTTACTTTTACACACTGTAAAAACGGTCAAGCGGTGCTCGCGGCTGCACGACCAGCGCCCCGTGGCCGCTTGACTTCTCAACGGATTTCAATCATGTCTCCAGCAGTACATGTATACACCTAACACCTAGACAATAAGCAGCCGCACAGCAGTTTCATTGCCAGTACAGGGATGAATTTACTGTTATTTTTTTGCATAGCAGTTTTTGTTAGTTGACGGCGCAAGCTAGGCGTGGATAGCCTGTATGTATCGCAGTTTTCTGCTAGTCGCGGTGATTTTTGAGTAGCAGTAGATCGACTTTGCATAGCAAACTGCGATGCAATACCGGATAAATTCATCCCTGTAGTACTGTGAAGCCTATCAAGGCGACCACTCGGATAAGGAGAGCACGTTTTAAAAGTCCCTTGAGCGGTCGTCTTTAAATAGATAGGTTTCTCTGTACTTTACTATAATAGGTGAGCCACGTTGAAGTACGGAGGCATGTACTGGAGTAGCAACAAAGACTAAGAAACACCAAGAGAGAGAGAGAGAGAGAGAGAGAGAGAAAATGAAGGGGGAGGGTGTGTGTGTATGTGTGTGTGTGTGTGTGTGTGTGTGTGTGTGTGTGTGTGTGTGTGTGTGTGTGTGCACATGTGCGTGTGTATGCCTGTGTGTCTGTGTGCGTAAACTCCTTCACCATCGTCTCCATGTGCTCATACGAAGTGGTATACAGGCAGCATCATCCGCAAATAGCGACTCCGACACGGATAAGTCTGCGAGTCTGTGCTTGGCAGTACGGTCGCCAACCAACTTGCGGCCGATACGATGTTTCATCGGGAAACTAGGCACTGTGGATGTTGAGCGCCAGTGTGCAAGGACCGCAGAGAAGTAGAGGTTGAACAACATCGGAGCCAGGGTGCAACCCTGGCGTAGTCAGGCTGGGGCCTGACTGTTAGTGTGCCGAAGACGAAGTTCTTGGCGGTCGGTCCGAGTGTCATCCGTGCTGACATTGTGGCGCCTGGGAGTGCTGGTGACGTGATCGGCGTGGTCAGCGATTTTACCTACCTCGGCAGTACGATCAGCGACGATGGAGAGCTGGATGCCGAAGTCACAACTCGTCTCGCCAAGGCATCGAGGGCGTTTGGTAGCCTCCTTCAACCAATTTTCCGCAACTCGGGTCTATCGCTTGGAATCCGACGTCAGGTCTACCATGCCGTGGTTCTTACAGTGCTGCTGTATGGTTCTGAGACATGGACGCTGAAGGCACCCCTCCTGCGCAGGTTGGACACGTTCCATCGACAGTGTGTTCGCACGATCCTGAGTGTTACCCGAGACCAGCAGTGGCAGGAACACCTGTCAAGTGAAGACCTGGCGAAGCGCAGCGGCATGCCAGCCTCGCTGCAGGAGGCCATTCGTGCGAATCGCCTGCGATGGCTTGGTCATCTCGCAAGGATGGACGACACCAGGTTGCCAAAGCAGATCCTGTTTGCGGAGGGCACTAACACGCGGCCCCGCCATGGACCCAAGCGTCGTTGGAGAGATGTGGCAGCTTTAGACCTGCGTGCGACCGGTATCCCGGAGGCGCAATGGTGCCACCTTGCTCAGGACCGGAGGGACTGGCGCGAGCGTAGCCGTCGGAAGCCACCAAGCCAGCCCCAACCAAGAGTGTTCGTCTGTGTCTGCGGCTGCGACTTTCACCGTCCGAATGATTTATCCCGACACAAGAACTACTGCCTCGCCTAATAGCTATCATCGCCTTCGGCGATGGGCTTTCCAAAGGTCAAAAGGTGTCTGTGTGTGCATGAGAGAGAGAGAGAGAGAGAGAGAGAGAGAGAGAGAGAGAGTGAGAGAGGGAGAGAGAGAGAGAGAGAGAGAGAGAGAGAGAGAGAGAGAGTACACTGCTGAATTGACAATGCTCAAAGGTCGCTATGAAAATCAGATATCCGACTACCTACTTGCGCCTGCATCACGTCCACACTCAAGATCATCCCGTGAGTCTCCGACCATGACAACTTGGTTTGGTTGAAACTTCCATTGCTCGCAGATGTGTAATAATCCATCCGGGGCTGGTTTGGTCGGCCGGAAATCTCTTGTTACAATCTATGTGCACAAGCACGCACGTGCACACGCCAATACACATGCACACACGCACACACACACAGACACACACAGACAGACAGACACACACACAGACACAGACACACACACACACACACACACACACACACACAGATACATACACGTGCCCACAGACACATACGGACGTCACGGACATGAGCATTTTGAACCTGAGTTTGCGCATCTAAAATTCCCAGTATTCTCTGGCAAATAGGGTAGAGGAGACGGTTTCAAATAGGAAATAGGTTGCAAACCGGAACGGGCTCAATATTCACTTCCTTGGTATTTTGATTAGAAAACGTATGTCACAGTGAGACTACGTTGTGTTTTACTCAGAGCCAAAATTCTCTCTGCGATGACCAGAAGCGCCATACCAAGCAGGTGAGTTTTTGACGTGTTGCTTCCCACTGCGACTTGAGTTTTACGTCTTTCGAAAAATCAACTTCTTGTCGCAGGTAAACAGCGGCTCACCTCTCGCCAATAAAGCACCGAATACCAATGAAAACTAATGGAAGCACACACAAGGCTTATTGGTGCTCTGTACTGGCCGTCGTGGAGCGACAGCAATTATGTGATTTCAGAACCCAGAGTGAACTTGACGTGCACTCCAACACCTTTCTGGTTAGGAGCCACCTCTGTGCAAAAATGAGGGCAACTTGGAGGCACCGGGCCAACACAAAGGAGGGGCTCAGATCGATCCGCTCTGGCCTCAAAGTAAACTTCAACATGCCAGCTTCCTCCCACAAACATATTTCGAGCGAACGATCCACGTTGATGATCGGTTTGGGTCTACACAATTTTGCTGTCAAACCGTTCCGGTATCGAACACACACACGCACACGCACACACACACACACACACACACACACACACACACACACACGACAACCCATATGCTCACAGTATACCCCCACGCACACACTTTACACACGACAGCTACAGTACAGCTGACCTGTGAGAAGAACGACTGCTGTCCTCCTCCTCCTCCCTGTTCCCCATGCTCCTGCTTGTTGATCTCCTTCATCACAGCGTCCACACCACGCGTGCAATTTCTCGTCAAAAGGCCCAGGCGAACACCACGTTTCTTCAGTTCTCGCAGTGTTTCCACACAAGACTCGCGCAAGGCAAGTACTCGCAACGCACGCTCCTCCTCTTCGCGAACCGTCCGAAGCGCTGCAGGCCAACGGGATACAACAAGCAACAGTCACTACTTTAACACACTACGATGTCTTAGCACTCCGAGCGAGACTCAAAGTCCAAATTTCTCCCCTGCACTAGCGTACAAACATCCACTCGTTGTCCTCAAGTGTTCTTGGTCCACTGAACCAAATTTCTTGTGCACAGTATAAACCCGTTGGAATATGGATAAAAATTGTCATGGAGATTTTTTCCCGGAGGAAGTATACATGCACCCACATACCCACACGTGCGCGTATACACACGCACGTACACGCACACCCGAACACATGCATGTACACCCAAACAGACGCACACACGCACATACAAACACTCGCGCCCGTGCGCACACACGCACACACAACTTTCCGCACCTTTAGCCTGCTTGTCCGAGCCAGAGGGCAAACTCTGGATATACAGGAGAATGTCGGAACCTTTGGGAATGCCAAGGTTGCTACGTACCTGTGAGAATCCAAGCAAAGACACCAGCACTGCCACGATTCATGTTGTGCGTGTAGTCTTTGTTATATAAAAATTAAATTAAAAAAACAATCGGTCGTGTCCAACACCCTTTTCTGGTCATGCTGCACACAGTGACATCAGTCTTAGTCCATTTAAAAAATGAAATAGTTCAAATTTGGCTGGAGCTTTTCGAGAATTGTTTCGGAATATTTCTCACGTCCTTCCCGCAAATACTCTCAAATAGATGTTTAAGCGATCGGATAGCAAACGCCCAATTTCGAAAAAATTTATGCACAAAGTGATCACAAATTTCATGTGGTATAGATCCTGAACTAACGTTTTTTTTAAATCACGCGTCTGTATTTTCGAAACGCACTGTAGTTGAATGGCGTGGGGTGTCTGCTAAGAGAAATTCGCTGTACAGCAAAGTGAGAAACTATCGCTAGGGATTAAATATCGTTATTTCCGCGATCATCACACATCTGTGAACATGAACCGTCACAAACTGCTCCAAGTCTGCACATTGATCGTAGACTGTACAAGATTCTAACTGAAGAGATAAAACGCAAAAGTTTCTCATCGGGAACCAGTGAAATTCATGAAAACGCAAAATTTTAGGCGTGTCACCGGACAGTAGGCTACCCATGCTACCCGTAATTAGATCGGGTACCCGGGTAGCAATTTGCTCCTCAGAACCAGATAGGGTAGTTGAGTACGGTGTTCTTGCAACGGTGCATGTAAACAGCACGGCTATGTGCTTATTGTAAACGTTCTATGCAGAGCAAGTGCACACTCATTGTACAAACCATGTTAGAAAATACCCGATAGGGGGCACCCGTGCTACCCGGATAAAAATACCCGATAGGGCACCCGTGCTACCCGGATAAAATACCCGAACCCGTTACCTGACCAAACCCCTACCCGCTACAGCCCTACAAAATGTGCACGCCGTGAAAGTTTTATTGCTTTACAGTCGATGTACTGAGTACCTGATTCCAATTCATGGTGGGTTCAGTCAGTGTGCCGTCCATGTCAAACACCACACCAAGTACTGGCGGCGGCGGTGCCGATGATGATGATGTTGCCATGGATGCCAGTGATGCCGGAGTGGACGCCGCCGACGATGAGAACCGTGCCATGGCCGGAGCTGTGCGGCCGCGCGGCTTCCCGTCCTTGGCCGCTGGGGTCTGGGTTAGAGGTTCTGCGCACCGTAGGTGAAACACAGGCGCGTGTTCACGCACACACACGAAACAGACACACATGCATGCACAGACACACACACAGAACGGACACACACACGCGCACATGTACACACGGAACAGATACACGGGACGCATGCACACATGGAACAGAAAAAAGCGCACACAAGCGCGCGGAACAGACACACATGTACACATTAAAGCACACAGGATGAGCCAGACTGATAGTCCAGGGGCAGGCTAGACAATCACCTTGTCGAAGCTGTGCGGACTGGCCATAGGAAGTTTAGCCTAATGCTATGGCCCATGAGTGTAGAACCAGTAACAACAGTTGGCTGATTAGGCCGCGGTCACACATGAACTTTTTTTGGCGGCACCGCCAAAGCGTAAGTTACGCTTTGGCGGAAAGTTTGGATTTCTCTACGTCAAAAAAATGCGAGCAGAACCTCCTCTTTTGCGGATCCGCTTTGGCGGAACCTGCGCGGTGATGGCTTTCATGTGCTACTGCTGATGTTGTTTGGTTGCCGTTTGGTACTCAGAGTAATCTGTTCAGATTGTTATTCTTTGCCAATGTACCGTACGTTCTGGAGATCTCGCAAACCATACTGCATCGCTATGAGTGGGTAGTGCTTTCGCACAAACTATTACGGAATCTGAACAGTAGGCGCTAGGTACTGCTATTCACTACTACTGCACTGCACTAGTAAGAACTATACTACATGTGGCACATAATCGATCGGTTTTCGGTTTTCCTAGATTCGATGCTTGAGACGACGTATGACAGTCACACCAGAATGACAAACTGAAATATGAGCTAGGCTGTGTTTACATGAGGCGTTTCAACCCGGGTCAGATTTTAACCCGCCATGCACACAAAACGAATGGCGCGTTTACATGACGCATTGCGCTTGACCCGGGTTGAAATTTCTCATGTAAACGCAGCCCTAGAGACCCGTGCCAGTGAGCCCCGATACAGTATGTTGGTACGTACGTACATGTTTTTATTTTAAATTTTTACTTCTTTCATTTCTTTTCTAGGACAGCAGCGGCTATAACAAGAAATTCAACATCACATTCGCCTCGCAATTGGAATGTCAACCGGCCTTTTTCCCTAGTGAGTGCTTCCCTTCCCAGCACGTACATGCACGTGAACGGTAGCGGGCAGGGAGAAGCCAACATCACAGGCAAATTTGAACAGGTGTGGTAAGAAGAAATTAGAGGTTTCTGCTATGTTTCTTGCAAAGAATGCGGATGGCGGACAGAAAGGTTTTCAGAAACTGGATGTGACGCAGTGGTGGCCCTTGGCCGGGTGTAATGCCAACTAAAGGTCCTACCTTCTCGAAACGCTCCTTGCCTGGCCAGGCGGCTTGAGTAGTAGCTGAAGTAGCAGCGTGGTAGTGCGAGAGAACCAGAGGACAGAAAACGAGGCCCACAGCTACAAAACAGCATGATGCTAACAATTATTTTCACCAATGAATTGAACCCGAATACGAAATCGTAGCTGATCATGTTTTTCCACCTGCCACATGGCCGTAAAACCCGGGTAGACTTCTACCCTCGCCCATCCAGGTCCAAAGTCCACATTTTGTACACGACGTACACGTGTTTCTCGTTCTCACGAAAATAATTATGAGTTTCAGCAGCTGTCAGATGTTGCACATTGATACATTTGAATTGCTTTTCATTTTCTTCTTTGTTTGCTGGCCTGTCACCACTGCCTGCACTCTTTCGAATGCCATGGAGCATGAAGAAAAGAAACATTTCTTCGCAGTATCAAGCAGGAGCGCGTCGCTTTAGTCCTTCTGCCGATTTCACAAAATGTGGCCATTCATCAGCACGCGCAAGCGTTCCTGGAAAACATACCTGGGAAGCTGCTGTTGCCTACTGGTCGTGACGTTTATAACGTTTCAGGTACTGGCCTGGACTGTGATGGGTCCACAGGAGGAATATGACCTGAACAAGGAAGTGCTGGAGGCGATGAAGAAGGTTACCTCCGGTATCAACCTTCATGCTCACATTGACCAGCCCGAAGAGCAGCGTGAAAAAGGTAAAAGATTCTTCAAAAACTCCACACAACACTGACAGCGGTACTGAGGTAGTGACTGAGTCAGTATCGTGCCTTGTTGTCACACTCTCTGACTGTATAATATCAGGTCACTCCAAAACCAGTGCAGCCTTTCCCAGGAGACTCCCTTTGATTGGCATCCGTTTGCCTCTGGAGAATCCTTGAAAAATACCGGTAATATCAATCAATCGATGAGGACGAAACAGTTCTGTCCGCAGATTGAGTAATATCAAGAGTAGATAAACAAGAGTGTGCAACTCCGGGATGGGTTGTCTCGCGGCGGAATTTGCTGTTGACGTAATCTTTTCTAAGACGCACGCGCTGCGAGTCTTTTGGAAAGTCTTGCCTCGTGCACTTGGCCGGGCTTTACATTACAAGGGCGGTGCCCAGCACGTGCTCTCACACTGTTCTTGGGCAAAATGCGCGTTTTTCTGAAGAAAAAAAAGATGACGTCAACAAAAATTTCCGCCGCGGGCAGGGGTATCTACAGATTGTGCAGAAGAGATCCGGAGTTGCACACTCTTATTTATCTACTCTTGGTAATATCAATCAATTATAATATTATAATTATCAATATGTATCAGACCAATCAAACACCCCTGTTCTAAACGATCCTGTTCCGGATCCGACCTATAAAACGCACCCTTACTCAACACCACATTGATAGGGGGTAGTGAGACGGTCAATGTTGTGCCTTGTTGTCACACAATCCTGTCCCTGCGGGAATTTGCGGAAAAAACTCTCGAAAACTTGCGCAAGAAATTGCGGCAGAAAACAACAAAAAATGCGACGAAAAGTGCGGAATGATGCAGAACTTGCCAAGAATTCGCGGAATTATTTACAGAAAATTGCGGATTTGGGCCAAATTACGAAATTTGTTGCATCGTATATCTACTCGGGAGTAGTCCGAGTCGTACTGTGCACATAACCTACAGGATCATGGAAAGCTCTGCGTGAAAAGTGCATAAAAAAGTGAGATATAGTGCAGAAAACAACAAAAAACGCGGGAAATCGCGGATTTTGCTGAAAATCGCGGGTTTGGGCGAAAATCGCGAAATCTGTTGCATCGTTGGAATCGCGATTTCCTGGAGGGACAGACTACCTAACTGTGCTCGTATAATATCGGCAAGAGCACATAACCCCCAGAGTGTGCAACGCCTGATCCAGCTTTGCATAGGGTCTTGGTCGAGTGTAATCGGATCTTCTGATGTCATGTGTACACTCCACACCAGCGCAAGGCCGGTCTCGAGGCAGGGCACCGTTGTTTTTGATCCGAGCGTTCCCGCGACTCCCCGGTTTCCTCTCAGATGTGTACGGTATTATAACGCAAAGATCCGATTACGCTCGACCAAGACCCTATGCAGAGCTGGATCAGGCGTTGCACACTCTGGGGGTTATGTACTCTTGATATTGGGCTACATTGGTGGACCGTTTTACTCGTAACATCGCGCCAGAAGTTGGTTAAAACCGTGATCTAACTTGACTCTATTTCTACATCTGTCTGCTTACATGTTCATTATGTACACAGGTGAGCATGCTGACGGAGCGCTCAGATCACTAGGATCCCAGTCGGGACCGGGCACTAAACGCTCGTCGAAGCTCGTCAAAATGTTCGGCTCGCGCAGCGGCCTGCTGTCGGCCATACGTCGGGTGAAACGGAGAAGACCGCTCGCCCCAGGCCCTGGTCGTGCCAGGGACGTTGAGGACGGAGCCATGCCATCGGCTGAATCCAAGTCAATGAGTGCCCGCAATGGCCGGCGGGGAGGTGCACGTATCGACAAGAACATCATGAAGCTGGCGAAGGCACGCGTTGCGGAGCGTAAGAAGCGGCAGCAGCTGGGACTCATTACAACTACGGACCGCGTTGAACGGATGCAGAAACCCGAGAGCTTCCAGCGACACCGTCCGGATATCATTGTGCCCCGGCCCGTGCAGAAGAAGGCGGCGAAACTACCGCACTCAGTTAGCGACCACCGTCTACCGCAAGCCGTTGCGCATCAACCAGCTGGCAAGCTCGCAGACCCGAAGAAAATTCCCGTCGCACATAAAAACGGGCACCGCGCACCACGACTCCGCGGTGTCGAGCCATCCCAGCGACTCCGGTACGATCTCGCGGACGGCAAGCAGTTCCACTGCCTGAACGGAGACGGCGAGGGGATTTCCGCCAGCGCCATCAATGACGAGTTCTGTGATTGTGCCGATGGTAGTGATGAACCTGGAACATCGGCATGTCGGAATGGCAGGTCAGTAGTACTCTACTGGATAAGTACACATTTTTGTTTACCAAATCTTTCGTTAGATCACTCCACCAGCAGGTTCGGTACGTTCTAAATTTCGTTTTTGGTCGAGGTCTGTCACCCCGAACGTTCAGATTTTTTTGTTTGGTACCAACTTTAGTTATTTTGTGCCCCTAGCGAATATAGCGAAAGTTAATTCCAAACGAAACTTTGTACTTGATACTGTAATAGGGAAAGATTAAGTAGGTGAATAACTTTGCCCCAAGTCCAAAGAAGGGCAGTTTGTCTGGCTGAACTTGTCGTCCATGGGCGTTAAAGTGTATGGAAAAGCTAGAAAAAAAGTCAGAAAATTCTTTGACCAAAATGACGAATTAAAATCCTGACGAGTATGTCTGCTTGTACAGTACTCCGCAAACATGCATGATAAGTATAGACCTTATTCGATAACGTGATTTTTGGACTCGCCTCCAGGGATTTGTCGTAAGCTAGGACACTCCCACAAGAAACGAGTGGCAAGAAAGGCCCAGTGCGTACATGGGAGTAGTAAAATACCGATATTTTTCTACTCCCATGTACGCGTGCAGAGTCCACTGTGCACTGAGTGCAGGCCTCTTGCCACTCCCCGGGTTCCCGGGACCCCGGTTCACGTGATTGTGACGTTTATCGAATAAGGACTGGTGCAGGGCGCAAACTTGAGTGACACGACTGGATTTCAGTGAGCAGCACTGTATGTATTCTGATAAGGCTTTAAACTGGTTTACCAGAGCACAAGTGTATTCATCCATACGGACGTATTTAAAAAAATCGCGGTTCGCGTCCGACTCGGCTAGAGGCCACTCCTATTGTGGCCCGTAGGCAATCACAGATACCGTAAAGTCTTGTATAAAGCCGCACTTGAATAGAAGCCGCAATTTTGGGCCCATCAAATCACACATAAGCCTGGTTTTAGTGTTGGCATACATAGAAATACCTGTCTTTTATAGAAGCCTGTCTCATATAGAAGCCTGCAACATTTCACCAAGAAAGTCATAGAAGCCGCGGCTTTTATACAAGACTTTACGGTAACTGATAATGCTATTTGCTAAATGTACCTTTTCATGTACATGTAATTTCTGTGTTACCGCTGACTGGTTAGGTTCTTCTGCCCTGTGGAGAGAAAGCACATCTTTTCGTCTCGAGTCGACGATGGTCGGTGCGACTGCTGCGACGGGTCGGACGAGCCGCAATCGCACGCATGCCGCGAAACGTCCTCGTGCGACGACCTTGAGAAGCGTACGAGGGAGGTGCGAGCCAGACGCGAGCGCGCTGCGGGCCTTCGCGACGAGTACGTGTCGCAGGGTCGCCAGCAGGCACCCGCTGGTGGTAATTTCGGCCAGGACAGCGCCTTCTGGCCGCTCAGCAAGCGCTGCTATAGCAAAATACAAGGTTAGTTCTGTCATGAGTACATGTAGCTGGTTGACATGTTTGCACTGAACTCCGATAATTCCCTGCATGCACCTTGTATGCACATGTTTGTGTAGGTATCGAATACCTGTCTAGATATCTATCTCAGATACGGAGTAGGTTTTTATTGACTTCTCTACAACATGGAACTGTGTGATGATATTGTCCTTGCGTGTGTGTATGTGTGTGTGTGTGTGTGTGTGTGTGTGTGTGTGTGTGCGCGTGTGTGTGTGTATGTGTATGTGTGTGTGTGTGTGTGTGTGTGTGTATGTGTGTGTGTGTGTATGTGTGTGTGTGTGTATGTGTGTGTGTGTGTGTGTGCGTGTGTGTGTGTGCGTGTGTATGCGTGTGTGTGTGTGTGTGCGTGTGTTTGTTTGTGTGTGTGTATGCGTGTGTGTGTGTGCATGTACATGGTCCTTGCGTGTACATGGCACGTTTGTGTGATTCCCGTCTCTTGTAGGGGAATACAAGTACGAAGTTTGTCCGTTCCACCTGGCTCGCCAATCCAGTAAGTGTCCATGCGGTGTGCGCTTGCATACACACGTGTTTCTATAGGTTCTTGGTTGGAGGAAAGCAAAGCACAGAAGCCATAATAGTTTCGACTAGGCCTTTGTTCGCGCCTTCAATCACCGCTGTTAGATTAGAAGAAATCACACGGAAACGAGTTATGAAGCAACTATCCACGACTGTAACAAGATAATAGGGAGTCAGATAGTGCGATAACAGGGCACAAAACTGACATGTTACTGAGGCATTCAACGACCTGGGACCTAGCTCTAACACATCTCCAGTGCGCAAACCAATAGCCTTCCAGCTTTGAAGGTTCAAGGTTATGGTAGGACCATTGACCATCATGTGATTTCTTCTATTTACTGCCTCAGTATTAATGGTGCGAAAGGACCAGTCGAAACTATAATTATGGCTTCTGTGCTTTGTGTGTTAGGCATGTTTCTCTGTGCGTCTGTGTGTGTGTGTGCGTCTGTGTGTGTGTGTGTGTGTGTGTGTGTGTGTGTGCGTCTGTGTGTGTGCGTCTGTGTGTGTGTACGTCTGTGTGTGTGTGTGTGTGTGTTGGGGGGGGGGGGCAGTCGTATGAAGAGTGCCTGCCAACCATATCCGTCCTCATGGATAAAGGTAGTGGTGTGCTGCGGATGCAGTGAAAGGGATATTCGGTCTTTGACCACTTTGCTGGTGGGCTGATCTACTCACCTCCAACCGCTTTAGGAGCTGCATCTGCGCCTTAGATGATCTTTGCAGGGTGGTGGCGTTGCTACGGATGCTGAAAACTCAGTCTAGCTGAGTCTCAAGCGAACCATGAATTTTATTTTGTGTGTGCACGCTTGAGCTCACCGAGGGCTGTTCGTGTCGCGACTGGACGTGTCACGCCCAGCATTATTTTAATCAGGGGTCGAATGTGACTCATTTGTGAAACGATTGGGAGAGCTTCAAACTCAATGGATAAGTCCCACCTGGTGGGGTTTGCATTTTTTTTTCCCTTTTCAGGCAGTTTACTTCCCCGACTGATCCTTAGAAAGAAAGAAAAAGAAAAAAAATTCTACGGGTTCGCGTACCGGGCAGGTCAAGAACAAGGAGTCGTACAACTCCCTGGTCAAGAACCACCTTTCCGCTTCCGTGGGACGCCACCACCCCATGATCAGGCGTCAGATCCTTAGAATGTGACTCGTTAATAAAAAGTGACGGTGACATGTACAGGTCTGCTCTCGATATAACAACTCTTACTTGTACATAAACCTCGTTAGTACATAAAAAAATCAAATCCCGCGCCGAAACAGCATCACTCCCATACAAAATTTGTTCTACACAACATAATCCTACATAACATAAACCTCGACATAACACACGCTACGGCGGTCCCCGACGTGCGCACTCTCGATACAACATAAATTCACGTGCATGGTATGATCAAGCGGTAGCTGTAGCTAGGCAGTTTAGGCCAGTTTAGTCCTACATAACGTAAACCTCGGCATAACGCACCCTACGGCTCAGTCCCCAACGTGTACACTCTCGATACAACGTAGATTCACGTATATTCTGCAGCATTGAAGGTATCTGATGTCGATGGTGGTACAGTGTGTATATGTTTGCACGGTTGAACCTGCCTTGTAATACCCTTCATTTTGAGGTGCATCTTGTATTTTACACACAGTTTTCTACATAACATACCTCTCGATATAACATAATGTTTGCGCGGTCCCAGAGATTACGTTATATGGAGAGTAGACCTGTACCAAGTTTTCTAGCAGACTCGGCAAAGTGCAGTCGGTCTTGTTGCTTGTAACTCAGAATTTCATCCCACAAGGCATTCATCAGACAACCCAGACGCTGCTTGGTTCTAAGCTATGGTCTATGACATTGAACACTCTCTGCAGCTCGGGAACTTCTGCAGCACTTTAAAAAAATCTCTATTTAGAATTCACAGCTTAGTGGCGCTATTTTAATCTTTATTCTCACGATGGTTGCCGCTGCTGTTGTTGTTGTTGTTGTTGTTGTTGTTGTTGTTGTTGTTGTTGTTGTTGTTGTTGTTGTTGTTGTTGTTGTTGTTGTTGTTGTTGTTGTTGTTGTTGTTTCAAATCTTTCAAATCTTTGTTGTTGGCGTCGTTATTGTGCTGTTGCTGCTGCTGCTGCTGCTGCTGCTGCTGGTGTTGCTGTTGCTGCTGCTGTTGTTCAGAGCAAGGTTCTGATGTTAGCATTGGTACTGGTGGCGAGTGGCAAACCCTGAGATCCCTACCTACTATAGTTATGCCAGCCGATGCGACCGGCCTGCTGCGGGCAAGTGATAGAACTCAAGGATACGCCGTGTTGCGTATGTCCAACGGACGTCCGTGCCCGTCTGGCAATCCACGTACAGTTCAGGTGAGTAATGTCCTGTTTTATGTGTGTGTACATGTATGTGCGTGCGTGTGCATGTGTGTGTGTGTACATGGTACATGGTGTGTTTGAGGGAGGGAGAGTGTGTGTGTGGGGGGGGGGGGGGGGTAGAAGTGACTATTTGCCTGTAATAGGTCTTCACCAGGTCTTTCAGCCATGGATAACTTTCCTTCTGGTTCCTGATCAGCTTCTTCCACGACTTCTCCATGGTAGCCCCATGGTCCAGGAGGATCTCCCTGGCGCAATGGACAAAGGACTATCCGACCCTGGGATAATGGACCCTGGGGCAATGGACAAAGGACTATAAACCCTGGGGCGATGTACCCTAGGACTGTGGGACAATTGCTCCTCGGACAGTGAACCCTGGGTGTTATTTTGCCTGTACAGTGGACACTGTGTGTGTGTGTGTGTGTGTGTGTGTGTGTGTGTGTGTGTGTGTGTGTGTGTGCACGTGGGCTTGCATGCGTGCATGTGTGTGTGCGTGTGTACTGTGCATGTGGCTGAATGACATTGTGTTTCTGTGCTGGCAGGTGGTGTTTGAATGTGATGTTGATGAGAAGCTGAAGGTGATCGGTGAGACAGAGCAGTGTCTGTACAGTGCCCTGATTAGTACTCCAGCAGCTTGTCTCCATGTCAGCTAACACACACCTTGCCACACCAGCAATCAGTGATCCAGATCAGCTCAAACGTATCTCACCCTACCGTCAACCGGCGGTCTTGAACAGCTAGCACACACGCCCCATCATGAACCGGTGATCTGGATCAGCTCACACATGCCTCAACATCAATCGTCGATCTGCATCAGCTGAACCACACCTCACACAACACCACCAACCGGTGGTCTTGAACAGCTAAACCCGCCCCATTACACCATCAACCGGTGGTCTTGAACAGCTAGCACGCACCACACAAACAACCGGTGATCTTGAGGGAGTCTTGACTTTTTTTCTCCTTTTTTTACAAGATACACAACTCACCAACGCGGCAGGCACATGGGGCTAGCATGGGGTGAGATGGTGCTGATGGTGGGGCTTGCCATGCTCAACCAACCACAGGTCTCGGCATCTTCAAATGGCAGGCGCACCACACTGAGAGGCAAGCATAAGCACTGTATGGACGTTGCGTTCTGCTGACTCGCCGCACCCTCGCCACACAGCCTACACCACTGCCTAGTACAGTATGTCAGCTGGTCAGGTCATGGCTGCCAGCCATACATACCATGCAGGATCCAGTGTTTGCATGTGGCCGGTACCCGTGGGCGAGTGTAGTACCCGAGTGCAGGCTACCGACGTGGCGGACACTGGGAGCTGTTGTTTGCGCTTACTCTGACATAACCATACACCAGTAGCCAGTGGCTAACTTATCTGCAATCTCCAGTGGTGTGTTGATGTCAGGTTAGTCTGGTGTACGGCCGCTGTTTGCGTTTGGGTGTTTTACTGTCGACTCCGCTGCATCTCTGGTGAATGTCCCTGCACCCTGCCCTCCCGTGTTTGGCACGGTGCACTTGAGCAGACTGTGTACTCCTCCATACACGCATGTGTCATCCCGATTCAGGGCTAGTCTGTTTGGTTAGTCTCTTACACTCTGGGTCTTTATACTCACCCCAATCGCAATCTTGAGTAACTAACTTTCCTCGGCCATGACGGGGAGCCAGCTCTCCTGCCCTATCATGGCCGAAATACGCGACATTGTTGGATCACAGATAACATTGGTAGCTGGCCTCACTTTCTCACTCTGCATAACCCACTCTGTCATGTCCGTGAAGCACGATGTCATTGTATGACATCATCACCTGCTGGCCTCGTACGTTGTGGCTGCGAGCCTGCAGCCCAAACAGCATGCTGCTGTGTTCTTGAAGGCGAATTACTATTCATTGCTTGCGGCGACAGCTTATATGCTACTTCTTGCAGTATTCACCGATGACTTTCTAACCAGTCCTTTTCAAATCATCCGTCTTCGATCGTCATTTTAACCTTCAGCATCTCCATGCTGCCATCGCACACCTAGCAGCAAGTTTCTAGAAATTTTAATTATGTCCTGTTTATCTCGAAGCCCGGTTGTCAGTAGTGGATTTCTTGGAGTGTCCGCTCTACAACGCCCTATTTAGAATTTACGCACTTCTGTGGTAGCTTAGCTCAAAGTCTGTATATGTTGGACTCTTGATTTTCGTTCCCATGAAGCTGGAACGTACTCGTAGGAATCACGAGCAGGACGTATCCCTTGCCCCGGTGCTTTTGCAAAGCCGCCTCTTCCGGTCGGTTTTCCTCTGAGTGCTGAATTTGCTCACACTGTATTGATTTTTTTAAACACATTTTGACTATTTTACACATATTTTCTCCTTATTATTATCATCATCATCTCGCAGTCTTATTCTTTCAGCTGATGAAGAAACTGGTGGCGGGCCACCATGTTTCCAAGACTTAGAAGCCGATGTGTTGCTTGAAGCAGGGTCGGGCAGCCACTGAGTGATTATACACAGGGTTATAGCCAGGTCAAAATAGTGCATGGGGGTGGGGGCATGGGAAACAGTTACCCCGTATACCATTTTTCCACCTTCCAATATTGTCTTGCCACGCTAAATGCAGCATATGGGGCGAATCCCTGACTTCGCCCCGGACAAATGTGCCTTTATGAACCATCTAATATTGACTCCGACTGCATTTTGCGTTGAATTGCATGAGAAACACGAATGTCGGAAATGAGTAGCCCCCCCCCCCCCCCCCCCCTGGCTAGAACCCTGATTATCGGTATAAGTATCTGTTCACGGAGCACTTTCGTGTGGATATAGCTTCTATCAGCAAGGGATGGAGTGCTAAAAAATACAATGTTTAGCACTCCCTGGCTCCAACATACAGATACAAGTACCGTAAAGTCTTGTATAAAAGCCGCACTTGAATAGAAGCCGCAATTTTGGGCCCATCAAATCACACATAAGCCTGGTTTTAGTGTTGACATACATAGAAATACCTGTCTTGTACATGTATATCTAGCCTGTCTCATATAGAAGCCTGCAAAATTTCACCAAGAAAGTCATAGAAGCCGCGGCTTTTATACAAGACTTTACGGTATGCACATCTGCCTGCAGCTGTTGTAAGTCAAGTTACTGTTAGTCTCAGGTACAGACTGAAGTGTAGATATGAACTGTTCAACAATACAACAAGTATCGGTGAACGACTGTGGGCTGAGCACTATCTACTATAGAACATCCGACCAAAAGTACAAAGTGGACACTCTGGACCATCCGTTTCCATGAGCCAACAGTAGTAGTAGAGAAACCAGGCACCTAAAATTAATTTAAATTACACCTAAAAGGCACTAGAGTACGCACTGTATGTGAAGGGAACACTGGTCACCTAATTCTAGATTACATCTGAAACCAAGAGTACATAACCCTACTCTTGCTGAAACCTGGCAGGCCCCTGGCACCGAAATTTTAATGCACCTAAAATTACAATGTCATGTTTTACAGTACACACACACACACACACAGCATGCTGTCCGCAGATTGAGTGTTTTACAGTACGATCATGTAACTGTTTTAAAAGTTTCAGGTCTATGGCTGCACCCGGTATATCCGGTACCCAGTGTGGCATTCACTCACTTTTAATTGGATCTCATTGAGCAGCACAGTGTACAGTAACACCGACCAATCCAGAGACTTTACCACGCCATGTTCATGTCTACACACTGCACACTTCACAAGGAACGGTTATTCACAAAACATCATACAAGAAGGTATACTGTGTATTATTAATATTACTTGCATGGTAAGAGGAAGAAACTGTTAGTAACATGATTATCTCTAGGATGAAGTCTACGTTGGATAGGTGCCTGTCTAACTAGGTAGCGCGGGTGGTGGCTTGCGGATCAAGCCTGCCGCACATGATGCACACACTGCCCAGCAGTGCGTACATTGTGTGTGTACGCGCATGTGTGTGTGTGTGTGTGTGTGTGTGTGTGTGTGTGTGTGTGTGTGTGTGCACGCGCAATAGTAGCATGTATGCGCGTGAAGATCATGGCTCGGGACGGTCGGGAGTAAGAATCCAAAATATAAGAAATAGATAAAAATCGAAAAGGAAAGGATCTCAAGACATATACATCATGTGAGTAAAGAGTTCTCCTTTTGAGCCACACAAGGGCGCCGAAACATGTAAAACTCAGAATAAGACGCGCAAGGAAATGGTGGACCAGGACAGACCAATTACGTCCTGTTAGCATTATCTGTCAGGGAGACCGAGGAGAAGTCCAGATTCAAAAGGCCACACTAAGACGCCCACGGCAAGCCAACTTGACGATGGCGGTGGACACGGAGAGGAGCCGCGGAAACTCCCAGCTTCTGCGTGTGTGACTCCTTGCAAGTCCAGGCTTGTTGGGGTGGGTGGGGGGAGAGCTGTTTCAAGTTACAAAGTAAAGTTCTTTGAGCACTGAGTTCAGTCCTGAAACAGCGGTGCAACATTCGCCGTCCAGTGCTGCTCCCAGCGGTTCAGTCGGAACTCTACCAGATTTTCGCGGAAGTCGAGCAGCAGCGACTGATCCGGGTCGCCGAGTAACTGCCACAGCTGCTCCGCAAGTTCGGCACTACTTGCGAATACCATGCCGTTGTGTTTGTGTCGTACTAGTTCACCCAGACACTTGAAGTCGTGAGCTAGAACTGGCAAGCCGCAGCCAAACATATCCACCACCTGAGCAGGGCAAGGCAAGGGAGGGAGAGAGAGAGAGAGAGAGAGAGAGAGAGAGAGAGAGAGAGAGAGAGAGAGAGAGAGAGAGAGAGAGAGAGAGAGAGGAGAAAGATATGCGTCCATCTGTCACACAAAAGCTATACACAACCACCTAACGGACACCAAACACAGACACAACCTAACAATGCTGGATGCTGATCTTGGAAATTTTGCCATTCATGAGACATAAATTATCTAATGCAGATCTTTGCTAAAAGCAATAATTTCCGGAAAGGACATACACACACCCAAACACATAAACACGCATAGATACTTACGAACACGCACACCCACACACCCATTCGCAAACGTACACACACGGACTTGTACTTGCTCACAGCCAAAACTGGTCACGTGGGTCTCCCCGGGAGAGGGGAGAGATTCAAAAGGAATCTTGGAAAAACACATACATACACACGTATGTCTGTCTGTCTGTCCTGAACATTGCCGTTTCCGGTTACATGTCCCCTCGTGTGAGGGGCCGACAGACATGGAGAGTTGGGTTGAGGCGCTGTGCCGCATCAACGACCTAGCAAGATTTCCTAGCCATTTCATTGATCCATTTGTTGCAGTTGTGTAGCTGGAATCCTCGGGTTGACTTGCAACAACGATCGCATTTGCTGCAGTGGGCTCTGCAGCAAGGTAGGGCGAGCCGCTGGCGGGTGTCACACGATGGTCCAGAAGCGGTGGTTTGGTTGTGCACTGGAGTAGCAGATGGTGGCATATCCAGGCATTTGTGGACGGCCAGTCCGCCAGGGCTGCGAAACCAGCGAAGACATGCGGTGCATTGCCTGCTGCCAGCCTGGTCTGCTACGGGTTTGCGACGCTCTTCAGTGCACTTGTGACACGTATGCACACACACACACACACACACCTCAGACATGCCCATCGCGGAAGCGATGATAGTGAACAGCTATGTTAGACATAGCAACTTGTGCTGGGATTACACCATTCAACAGCTTGCAAGGCTGATGAATTGACTGCCACTAATTTTTAGCCACATCATTGGACCATTGGACGCACATCGCCAGAAGCGATGCTACAGCAGAAGCCATAGCAACTTGTGCTGGGATTGCACCATTCAACAGCTTGCAAGGCTGAAGAATTGACCGCCACTATTCAGCCTGGTCTACACCACACAGCTATGAAGTGGCTTTTTCTGGCCAGTGAATCCCTACTTTTTGGTCTTTTTTATTTTTTCCCGCACACACATCACACCGCATACTCCGGCATGCACTGGCTGTTGGTAACACACACACACACACACACACACACACACATACACACACACACACACACACACACACACACACACACACACACACACACACACACACACACACACACACACACACATCAAGTAGCCTACCTTCATGGGCAGATCCAGGCCGGATGATGAGGTATGCAGAGACACACCTAGATCAGCACTGCCTAGTAATCTGGGATAATCAGCCGCTTCCAGCCAAGGTGTCTCAACACTGATTCTAGTGAACTTCAACTCTTTCACCTTGTCCAGGTAGAACTGTTTTTGCGGTCCCTTGCCAGTGATTACACAGACAAGTGGTGGAAGAGAGCTGAACACACACACACACACACACACACACACACACACACACACACACACACACACACACACACACACACACACACACACACACATACAGAACAGAGAGAGAGAGAGAGACAGAGAGAAAGAGAAAGAGAGAGACAGAGACAGACAGACCACAGTTAAAATGTGATCGAGCACATCCGTGTCAATTTACACAGCTTTCCAGTTCCGGGGGAATATTGATGAGACGTACAATGAGAATATATCTCCGTCCAATAAAGAACCAATTCGCTATTCAAACAAAAACTATGGTGAAATCTGCTCAAGCCAACCCTGCTCTAGCGACCTCCAAAATGTGGATCCTGTGTACAGGTGGTTTTCTTATCCAGGGGCAGTTGACCGGAAGTAACATCCTTTGGTCCTTGTTGTTGTGGTCTTCTGGGATAGGTGGTCTTCTGGGACAGGTGGTCTTCTGGGACAGATGGTCTTCTGGGACAGGTGGTCGCCCTGACAGGTTCTACTGTACACTCAGGGAGAACATTGTCCATAGAACGTTGTCCATAGAACATTGCAGTCAGTTGCTGTCTGATGATTGCTAAAGCCGTGAAACTCAGAGTTACAGCAGAGACGCTCTGTATCCTTTATTTTTTATGTGCAGGTTTTACTGTTACAATCTCTCCTCCTCTTCTCCTCCATACACTCTCACCTGACACGTTGCTACCTTCGGTAGCCATTGCACACACCAACAATTCCAAACAACGAAGGAACGAATTTATAGGTTCTACTACTTTTGCTCCTGCTTTGTAGCAGTTGAGCACTCTCGTGTGGGGTAGTGCCTTTGCTGTTTGCGTTACGCAGAGCTCACTGACTTGTCAGTTTGAGCACTCTGGCAAGGTACGTTCGGGCCTGGTTTAAATCTGGCTTTGGAAAATTTAGTTTTCATTGCTGTCAGGTTCGGCCTCATTTCCTCTGTGCTGCGCTGATGAGTCCACAAAGGACGAAACAGTTCTGTCCACGGATTGAGTAGGTTCTACAGTATATAGAAAAAATCCTCAACCAGCAAAGCAGGCATACTATATGAACTAAAACAGTACAGTCAGCTTACAGGTCAGTCAGGGAGCGTTCCTCATAGATTTTGAGAGCGTCCAGAAGAACACCAAAGTCTTCATCTTCCGTCCAGCTGGTACTGCTGACGAGTAGTGCTGGTCTACCGCTGCGATACTCCGGCTAGTGTCAGAACAGCATACATGTACACACACACATACGCACGCACACACACACACATACACACACCCACCCACCCACACACACACACAACCGAGAAAACCTGTGACTGTTGAACGCGATAGAGAGGTTGCCCCCATATCCACCCACACATACACACTCAGGAAAAGGGTTTACAAATTTCAAGCTGCTCCTCAGTAGACAATTCGAGTCACTTAGCACAGCACAGCTTTCCAACAAGCAGTGCACGCACAACGGTACAATAATCACAGATGCATGCATGAAACAAGGACATGGCCACATGCAGGTAGAGTTCTACTCTTGTGTGAGTTACTTACCATGCCGGATGTGTCCAGCTGGGTGAAAACCGTCCGATTCGCATCACCATCCGGGTCGGCAAACACGGAATACTGCTGTTTGAGCTGCATGAACAGATGATGTCGCTCATCAAGCTACAGGGACACAGGAGAACAGTGCACCAGGAACGAGAAATCAACTATCAGTCGACATAGACAGGTCCAGGGTCACCTGGGTGTAAGCGGGACTCTCCCCAGTACAGTACATACATTCCTGTGACCTGCACCAAGAAACACATTATCCACAAAGTATGCAACTGTCGGTGCAACCTCTATCCAGTGTTGCGACGGCAGAGTTTCACATCACGTGGCGCGGTTCAAAAGGTTACGCAGCACACTCTTGGGGCTTATGCACTTTCGATCTCTAGCTGCCCTCGGTGAAATCCGACCCAGAGTGCACAGTTGGCGCCCTGAATTTGCACGACCCTTGACACCCTGGCAGTGGCACGAATGCGACTGCACCCACACATGTACACATACAGTGATGTAATCGGAACTGGTCCAGGGTGCCAGCTTTGCACTTTGGGTCGGATTTCACCAAGCGCAACTGTACTCGTGGGCTTGCGCAAAGCCTTCACCGCACCCGATTGACTCGGGCAACAGGCATGTGACACACAACGTATGTTGCAAAAGAAGGATTCGCGAACGGGATTCAAACCAAGCACCCCCGTCTTTCCGGGACACTGCGCCCTACCGATTAGGCTACCAGTGATCACACCCCCCACCACACACACACGCACGCACACTCACACACACACTCACACACACCCACACGCTCACCCACACACCCACTCACACACACACACACACGCACCCACACACATACCCCCCCCCCCCCCCACACACACACGCACACACACGCACCCACACACGCACCCACTCAGAGACAGACACCCGTGGCTCCTTCTTGCTACACGTACACAGTTACCTCCCAGTACTTACTGGCAATGGACGGAACAGCGCCGGCGGCCGATCATGCATGGTCACCGCGGTTACGTCCCAGTTACGCGCCAGGTCCTCACGCATAGCATTGGTCACACACACCGCATTGTCGGCCATGCGACCGAAGAACCGCTCGTACCTGCACGCAATGCAGAACAAGCCGTGGGCACACAAGAATGAAGGATGAAACGAGCGTACATGTATATGCAAATACCCTGAGAATGGATGGTTACGATTAGGAGACAAAGCGGAGTCGTCATGTTTGTCTGAAACCGAGAGCAAAAATGATTGCCGGCCCAATGCCGGGCATGCAAAACGGTGCACAAGTTGATAACAGAAATAGAGAACAGATCTACTTTCAATGAGAAGGGCAGAACTCCTCTGTAGCTTCGTCATGATACGAAAACGAAGATTTGGAAAGCATTTGAAGGATTAGGAGAGATTTTCTTTCTTTCTTTTGTGTAGCCAAGGACTTGGTGCGGCTCTGTGCGTTGAAAGTTCATATCGATCTACTTTCCCTTACACAAACACAACTTTAAGGTCTGTTCAGGCGCATTTACACAAGCAATGAGTCTAAGAAGGCCCCGATTACGAAAATTCAGCCAGGGAAAAAGTTATGGACAGAATGGACACGGTGGCTGCCCAGGAATCGAAATCGTGTAAATTCGACGGCTGGAAAGGGGTTAACGTGCCCCGTACGCGTGTGAGCGCATGTTATGCGTGCACACTTACCAGACTGCAAAGCGCACGAGTGGGTGCTTCCTGGGCAACGCCATGCTCAGGATGGTGTGGCCGTAGTTGTGCCAGTCGACGACAAACTCCGTTCCGCGCAGCCGACACACCAGCCACGCCACCGCCATGGTAGGGATGGCCGGCGGGTTCTGCAGCAGCAGGTGCGAGGCGCGCGGCAGCCACAGGTACAGCGTGCAGAAGAGCTGAAGAGACTGCAGCAACACCTGTGCACAGACATATACCCACCGACACACGTGCGCACGAAGAGAGAGAGAGAGAGAGAGGGAGAGAGAGAGAGAGAGAGAGAGAGAGAGAGAGAGAGAGAGAGAGAGAGAGAGAGAGAGAGAGAGAGAGAGAGAGAGACACACACACACACCACACCACACACATACACAACCAGTACAACAAAAAAGACACATCACACACTTGATGAATACAAAACCATCAGATTCGTGTCAGCACCCACGGCACAGTACCACTAACGGACAGTTTAACACTTCTGAGGTAACATCCTCAGGAAACCCCCCCCCCCCCCCCCCCCAGCTCCAGGCTCTTTACAAACACCATTCTGAAGTTTCGACTAGAATTTTCCTTGCTTTCTCTTCAGGTGGATACGGGTAGAAGAAGAAACTAGCCAGTACAATAACTTTTGATTAACGTATCCACCTGAGGAGAAAGCAGCAGTAGATGGATTAGCGAGAAAGAAAACACTGACAAGAGAGCATCGTAGCTCTTCAGTGAGGTATTCCATGTGTAAATACAGTCAGACCTCGCTTATCCGGGTCACTCGCCATCCGGAAGAAAATCGTCGGTTACCGATTTACAGCATATGCCATGTATACATACAGCATGTGTGTTCGATTATCCGGTTCCCTCGCCTATCCGGATATGTTTGTGGAAAACGGATGTGTGTGGTTATGAGAGGTCTGACTGTAGTAAAGTGCTAATTGTGAAACACATAGGAAATACTAAATCCTTAAGTGATGTACTAGCGGTGGTCGCATGAAGCTGTGCGATCACCGTGGCATGTACACAGGCAACAAATGAACTGAAATACCGTATTTTCCGGAGTATAAGCCGCACTTTGAACACTCAAAATCCCCCCCCCCAAAGGAGGATGCGGCTCATATTCCGATGAACAAATTATTGGTGAGAAATAGGATAGGTGATTATTTCATGGCAAAAAAATGGGGATGTGGCATATCCTGCAGTGCGGCTAATACTACGGAAAACATGGTAAAACATGTGTGGATGACTATCCTGTGTAGGGGTTTGAGCATGGATGTGTTCTGTTACTGCTTGCATAGGTACTAGGTTTGGTTTTCTTTGTGAATATCGACAGCCTCCCACAAATAAATTTATAGGCCTGTGACATTGCATGTGTGTTAGAAATCAACACTTCACTCCTTTGTCTGTGTAAATGGATACCTATCATGGGAATCTCTCCAAAGAAATAGAATAATGGAAATGGACTCGGATGGAGAGCCCAGGATAAATTTATAGAAAAGAAAAAAAAAGGACCAACTGGTGGTGCTAGTGGACATTATAGGGTAACTTGTAGTTCCTTGGTTCTTTTTTCTTTTCTATAAATAATGAAAATAGAAGTATGTAAAGTTTGCATGGTTTTAAAAGCAGAAAGGTTGAGGACTACAAAACGAGAAGTAGGTCAGAGTCTCACCTTCACGAAGTACACTGCCACACGTGGGAGGTTATTGATGGCCGCGGGCAGCGAACGCAGGAGCGCCACCTTGATCTTCGGGTCATCACGAACACTACCGTGAGGCTCTGAGCCACCATAGGCCACGACGTCTACGTCAAAACCAGCGCGACTCAACGACCAACAGTGATACTGCATTCGCGGACTTCGTCCAAAATCGCCCAGCACCAGGACGCATGCCCGCTTAGATCTAGGACGAAAGCGCTTCCACAGCAAAGCCAGCACAGGCAGCAAGATGCAAGCTTCAAAAAGCATTTTCCCTCTCCAACCCTCACTGCACTGGCAGTCTACATCACAGGCAATTATTTGGAAAAGACTTGAATTCCAGTTGACCAATTATTATTGAATTCAAAACTCTAGATCTGCCTACTACGTGACGCCCACGTCCGGACGTGGCCCATGTCACAGCATGCAGTCAAGTCAAGATTGTGCTGGTACTAGTATATGGTACCGTTGGCGTGCACGTGGGCAACGAGAAAAAGAGAAGTCAAAAACATTTTTTTTGGAAAGAGTCGCATTTTTCGTTTCGGCGATTTTGGATCGCCATTTTTTCTACATAACAATCCCGTGATGTAACCATGGTTGCGTCGCAAGACTCGCAACCACTCCATGGAAACGTTGCCCTCCCAGGCCGGCAAGAGGCAAGACCAGACATCTGAGTATTCTGACCTACCCATCTTTTGAATTATTTTTGATAGTCTCGCGATCGCCTGCACTGAGTCTGTACAGAGTCTGTACTGTAGTCACGGTAATGTAGAGACTAGCTGTACTAGGCCCTGACTCGGGCCCGAGTCACTAGGACAGTACTGTCAGTAGGAGTCGGGTCGAAGTGCATGCTGTCGGAGAATTTCATTAAATTTTCTTGAAATAGGAAACCACTGACCAGGCAAGTTATCGAGGAGCTTCAGTTGATATCGGCTGTCGACTAGTCTGTTATTTGGACTCTATGAGCAGCTGGGGCCGTGTTTGGAAGTGAAGAAGGACGTACAATACACCGCACTAGGCTGAGAAAGCGCAGCGTTCTCTCCACCTGCGTCCGACGATACGCACTATCGTCCACGCTGCGCAGCGAGGTGACCAAATACAGGTCAGGAAGAACCATTCGATTGCTATTCAGAAACCTGGACAGAAGGTGATAGACAATGTAACCTCCTAAACTTTGGTCGTCTTGCAGCTTGACCTGCAGTGCATGTTTCGCTAGGCTTCCAGCTCAGTCTCGAGCCACCAATCTCACCATACCGCCGTCGTGTTGGAGAATCGTAGCTAGGCTATCGACCGTTGCTGCTGATTGATTGCAGGACTTTCGAGCACGCTAGCCTGAACCAGTCTGAAGTGGCTCATCCCTGTGGTGTCTGCGGGCCAAGCGACGGGCAGGACTGGCCCTAGTAGTCGACTTGTCCAGGCACTGGGATGGACTCAGCGTGGTCGGGATGAGAGCAGATCAGGTCCTGCTCTGCCAGTGAACTAACTACTTCACATACTTGTATTTGTAAGTATCTACAGCTGCTACACATTTGCAGCAAAAACGTACCTGCAAGCACAGCATTCAGGGGCATACCTAGCACATCGATGGTCATGGCCATGTACTTGAGTACCTATTGTCGTGGACATGGAAATCCAGTCAATTGACCGGGGCCGGCACCCTCAGCGCGTACAGAACGCTGCGTGCAGTGCAATGTCATGTTGATCCGATGCGACCAGCGCGCTGCAGCGCATATAGCACACTACTTTCACTTTAGCTCATACATGTACACCAGGGAGTCGTACTCAAACTAGGGAGGTGACACGGCACAGAAATTCGTGTCACAGGGGTTGACTCGCACCCGTGACCCCTCGTTGTTATTTTTGGAATAGTTCAGTCCAGTCCAGTCCGAAAGGTCATACTCGGATCGACTCGCCTTCTGTACTTCACCTCCAAGCGTGCCGCATGGGTGTCTAGTTTTTGAAATTATTGAGGCAGCACATTTCGTTTACAGCCCATCACTCGCCAGTATTCTTTGAAAGACTACCAGCAATTTGTTTACCTCCTGCCATGTCCGAACTAATTGATAGCAGTGATGGCAACAGCAGCAGTTATGAGACGGCGTGTAGTGTTACGGTAACCGTTCAGAACTGTTCTGAGTCGTATCCTAGGTTAATCCGAATACTAAAAATTGACTCAAATTGCACATAGCACGAAGCTGGTTTTTGAAAATTGTAAGTCGTGTATCTGCCCCATTTCTTCTTTATGACATGCACAATACACCAGTCTTCCTAAACAACACATTTCTAGCAGGGGTTAAGTACCATATAAGAGAAGTACAGCCAGTGATATTGTCATGTTGAAATACTACAATTTTGACACAAATTACACATAACACGAAGCCAGGTTTTGAAAAATGTAAGTCGTGTATCTGCCCCATTTCTTCTTTATGACTTGCACAATGGTCCAGTCTGCCTAAATAACACATTTATAGCAGGGGTTATGTACCATATTAGAGAAGTACAGCCAATGATATTGTCATGTCTAAATACTACAATTTTGACACAAATTAGACATAACACGAAGCTGGTTTTTGAAAATTGTAAGTCGTGTATCTGCCCCATTTCTTCTTTATGACTTGCACAATACACCAGTCTTCCTAAACAACACATTTATAGCAGGGGTTAAGTACCATACAAGAGAGCTACATTGTACATCTAGTCATACTGTCATAAACAGCCAGCATTTTTCCTGCAGCAGTCACACCACCATCATCATTATTTCCAGGGAAATCCTCTTACATTGTCAGCTCCTACGTCGTTAGATACAATGTAGGGGGCTGTAGGACCGGCTCGTCAAAGATAGAGAACCTGAACAAGCGTGCTCGGGACGTCTCAGCAATCGTAGTATGCCTGAGCACTCCAATAAAAACTTGATCAATGGCAAAATCGTTCCCCACAGAAAAATCATACTTTGCGGGTCTCGCGTTGCACGCTTGGAGGTGAAGTACAGAAGGCGAGTCGATCCAAGTATGACCTTTCGGACTGAACTGGACTGAACTATTCCAAAAATAACAACGAGGGGTCACGGGTGCGAGTCAACCCCTGTGACACGAATTTCTGTGCCGTGTCACCTCCCTAGTTTGAGTACGACTCCCTGATGTACACGTACATGTAGATCCTTCAAAGGGGTGAACCCCTGGATAGGCGACAAGCCTCTCGGTCATCCTAATAAAGATAGTACAATTATTAAATGCATGTGTGTACTGCTTATCCATGGCTGCATGGCCAGCACCCAGGGGCCACTAGACGTGCGACCGGATTTCTATGTCTACAACAGAACCGTATGATGTGCGTGGTGTGGTGGCCATGCACCACCGGCAATCATTACCTCATAGTCGACATTTTGCCTATTTTGACTACTGCAGTATGTACTGTCGTGGACATGGAAATCCGGTCGCACGTCTAGCGGCCGCAGGGCGCTGGTCATGCAGCCATGGGTAAGCAGTACACACATGCATGACATTATTACGCTCTGCAGCGCGCTGGTCGCATCATGTGCACTGTTCTGTAGGCGCTGAGGGCGCCGGCCCCGGTCATTCGACTGGATGTCCATGTCCGTGACAGTAGTACCTATGTGGGCAGTTTGCTGGTGTGGTGACCGCACTACAGACAGTGTATACCAGGGAGTAGTGTATTTATACCAGGGAGTAGTATATTTATACCACTCCCTGGTATACAGTGACTATCATGAGCTACGCGCCTGGTATTCATATCATGTACAGAGTCAGTGCTTCTCAATGAAATCCAATCCTGCGGGAGTCAATACAACGCTGGGTGCTGTACTGCGCCAGACTTGTGACTGGGCTTTTGCACGGGTGCAGTGTGCAAGCTCGGCTCACCCGGTCGGATTTTATTGAGCAATGAGCACCAATTAATGTACAGTGAAACTTGTCTAAGACGACCGCTCAAGGGACCTTCAAAATGTGGTCTCTGTCACCAGGTGGTCTCCTTATCCAGGGTCAATTGACTGGAAATAGCATCCCTTGGTGCTGGTTGCAGTGGTCTTCTAGGACAGGTGGTCGCCTCATCCGAGTGGTCGCCTTGACAGGTTTTACTGTACAACCAAGAGAACATAAGCCACGCGTTACAAGTGCATGTACAAAGAAATCCACTTCGTAAGACCGAAGCAACACCAAGGCGTACTCGGCCTCTGCCACACGCGAGTGTATCTAGGGATCGTGCATGATGTGATTTAAATGTAAACGCGGTGCTGCTTTTCACCCACAGGTCGGATTTCTTTGGCCATGAGTCGACTGTACAAGCACTGCATTCACTGTCAGTGTAGTTGGGAGTGTTTTCGAGAGTGCCCCACATCTTGTTCTACATCAGTGTACAGCTTATATGCGGGGCATAGATTGTGAGCCGTGAAATCAATATGCTCTATCTCTAATGAGAGACATGCAGCGCTACTGAGGCAGAATTCCGCCATGGTTGGATTATTCTGCAGTACTATTTTATGTTTTAATTTCTACTGCCCACAGCCGCACAAAGTCCTTGGCTACACAAACATGAAAAATCTCTCCAAATCTCTCCAAAACACACTTCAAATTCTTTTCCAAATTTCCATATCCCTGAAGATGCTTTCTTGGGCAAAAATTTGGAAAATAATTTGAAGTTTGTTTTGGAGAAATTTGGAGAGATTTTCATTTTTGTTTAGCCAAGGACTTTGTGCGGCTGTGGGCAGTAGAAATGAAAATCATTACAAGGCGACAGAGGTGTTACGCCATTCTTATTACTAGCATAGACATGTACATGATTATATGGAACTTCCTCGTAATGTTAGTCCCGTGTTTTAGCAAAAAGTTTGATTTGACAAGCTTTGTCCAGATCAAGCCAGAGAGAGAGCGAGAGAGATAGACAGACAGACAGACACACACACACACAGACGTACACACAGACACACACACACGTACACACACACACATACACACACACACATACACACACACACATACACATACACACACACACATACACACACACATACACACACACACACATAATATATCCTCCACCCCCCCCCCCCCCCACACACACACACACAGACAGACAGACAGGCACAGAGAGAGTGAGAGAGAGAGAGAGAGAGAGAGAGAGAGACTGCGAACGTTCCTTGTTTTATCTTACGTCTTGGTGTCTGCATGACTATTCTCAAATATCTCTTTCATCAGAGTACTAACTGAAGACGACCAGACTCAGCTCATCGACGGCCATGTCTCGACATCCCAAGCTGTCATCCCGTTACCGAGTTAGCCCCCTTGGCCAGAGCCATGACGACGCACCGAGCGGTTCAAACAACGTCAGCTTCGACGTTGGCATGGCGACGTCCATGCAGCGCGACAGCGTGTTCGACAGCTTTGCAGCAAACAGCGGCGACGAACTCGGCTCCATTCGCGAGTCGTCGGCGGCAACGGCGACGGCGGCGGAGAAACCGGCGAGAAGGCTAACGCAGAGCACCATGCAGCAGCTTGGCAACGTCCTGCGTCCACTGCGCCAACAAACGCACTGCTGTCCCTCACCTGTCCTCGAGCGAGCGCGTATCGCCAGCGATCCACTGCAGACCAGCAGCGGTGGTGGCGGTGGTGGTGGTGGTGGCGCGAGCAGCAGCAATACGAGGGCGCCGCAGCGCGTGAATGCTGCTGGGGATCGTGCTGACACCACTGGACCAGCTGGCAGACACTCGTCCGCTGTGTTGAGCAAACGTGCCGTGTTCGGTACTGGGGTGCGAGGCGACGCGGGGGGCAAGTCCAGCAGAAAAGATCGCCTGCTGTCGTTTAACCAGAGATCGATGAGCAATGCAGCAGATCTAGGGTGAGTTGCCATGAGCGTGAGCACAACCTCTTAGGGCGGATTATCAGCTATCATGTTCAACATATTAACGTCCAACGTCCGTGCCTGGCGAAGTGGTCTGTAGTACAGGTGGAATCCTGATAATTCGAACCTCCAAATGCCAGGAAAAAAACTTCCAATTATCCGGACATTCTGATGGCACGTATTCATCTAAAATGGCGGACGCCCACGCTGCATTCATGGTATGGGCGCACGTGAGCCACGCTGTGGGGACACTTGTTCGACTCCGCATACAAACGTATACGAATGCGTGGAAAAGAAGTTTTTCTAATCGCTGGAACTTGTGAGTTTCTTTCGATATAGACTATTGGTCTTCAAGGTATACAATAGTAGTGACCCAACGAAGTGGAATTTGCGGAATACAACGTTCGAGACGGCTCAACAAGTCAAGAGTAAAGTGCGAATTTACTATGTACGCAAATGAGAAAACCTACTTGTTTCCCCGCAACGCTAGTCACGTGCGCCTTCAGTGAATACGTGACATTATCCAAACATGAACCCACAACACAATATGTATGTCAAAATGCTCCCATGGTCACGCAGAGTTGCGCTATGGACCTTAGACACAGATTTCACGGATACTGAACTGACCGGCACAGCCTGCTCATGCAAACTGAACTGACCGGTACAGTGTACAGTGAACCTCGAATTAAACTTTGCTAACTTCAAATTATCAGCACAAATCCCACACATTTTCTATGTACGTGGAATCCGTGGAACTTCGAATTAACCTGACCTGTCCGGTCCGAGGTTCGAATTATCAGAACATTTTATATGGGAATCGTATTGACAGAAATCGGTCCTGGAAAAACTTCTAATTAAGCGGTATGTTCGAATTAAGCCATATTCGAATTACAGTGGTCCCTCTATAATCCGGCACCATTTGTGCCACGAAAATCTGCTGGATTAGGGAGGGTGCTGGATTAACAAATCTGATTTACTGCTGCAATGTGCATGAAGAGGACATTTTGGCTACTGAAAATTGTGCTGGTTTATCGAGGGTGCTGGATTATAAAGTGCCGGATTAGAGAGGGACGACTGTATCAGGATTCCACCTGTACCAGGCTGGTCGCTAGTCACGGTAGTCTTTAGTTACAGGTTTTACTGTATACAACTGTAGTTATGAGGCGTGCTGCCTTCCACACGTAACCTGCCTCCATCACACACTGGATGCATACACTCAAACCCGCAATCTCTCGTACCAGCTCAACCGTTCTTGCTCGATTCATCCGAGTGCCCACGCGATCTCTAAATATTGGGGGCGCGAACTCCAGTTCTGTACGAAAGTGCATTTCAAACCAGAGGGAAAGTGCGGTGTTTGATTTTCCGCAGTGCACAGACTGCAGCTGAATGATGTAATGAAGGCAGTGCGCCGCGCATCTGGCCAATAGAAAAGAGATCACCGCTGCATACTCTTGTTTATGGACTCCTGATAGTACATATCACCCCATAGTACCATAGGAAACCATGGATTCAGCCAATCAGCAGCTGTTATTTCCGGGGGGATATTCCCAGCGTACACATTCGTACCACCTTTGACCCCGAGGCGTTCTACGTACGCTGGTGCAGTATTGGGCTGATGTAACGCTATCACATTCACTTCGCCTTTCTCTCTCTCTCTCTCTCTCTCTCTCTCTCTCTCTCTCTCTCTCTCTTTCTCTATCTCTCTCTGTGTACAGCCGCCGACAATCCGAGCCATGGATGTTCACTGCGGTGTTGAAACGGTTGCGTAACATCACCCGTGATGTGGACATTGGAGGAGTCGAGACTGAGGATGCGGAGCAAGAGGGCCCTGAAGACAACATGGCGACTGAGAAGTCCACCAAGAAGTCCAGAGAAGAGGTAAGGTGTTTGGTGAATGAAAGACTTATCAATTAAGTTACTGCATATGCTTTCTGTGCTATGTCTAGTCACAAGTCACACAAACCTAATCACAGTACTATCGGTTGCAGAAGATCTGGGGGGGGGGGGGGGGGTGGCGGGGAGGGGGGGGGGGGCGGGGGGGGGGGTGAGCCTCGTAGCCTGGACCGTTCTCATCGTCATGTATGTCAGTGTCTTTGCACGATTGAACCACCGTGTAATACATTGGTATGTTATGCTTGGTGAAATTCTAAACTGTTCGTTCTTCGGCGTCCAGCAGTACTGTGTTGTATATCTACCGGCGGGTAACCCGTATCTTTTTCTCTCTCCGAAGCCCTCTCCCCTTCTAAGATTTGTGTGTGTGTGTGTGTGCGCGCGCGCGCGCGTTTGTGTGTGTGTGTGTGCGTGCCACCTAGTTCGGTTGGTGGGTACACTTATGCCAGATAGTGTTGGGTCTGTTGCCAATGGGCTCGGCTGCTTGAAGGTGTATTGTTGTACCTACCACCTTTGTTGGTTTCAGGGTTCATATACTTTCTATTTGAAGTATACATACAAGTTAACCATGGACTGCTTCTGGCAAGATTAACTCTTGTGTAATCGATGGTGCTAGTGAAGCTTATATCAGATCCACTCTGATTTAGCCACCCACACTAGTACCAAGTATTACCTTCACTGGGGGCAGGGGTAACTGCAGTTGGATCCCGGGACGGATACCCTGATGCCGTCAATCCTTTTTCTGCACCTTGTCCTCACCCACTTACTGAGGTGTGGTGAGCCCATAAGTGGGATCATTTTCAAGTCCACCCAGAGTTTTGGGGATTTCAGGGGGTGTCAACCGTTGGGTGGTTCAATAGCCAATTGAGTCATCTTTCCAAGATTCCTTTTGAGTCTCTCTCCCCTCTCCCGGGAGACCCACGTGACCAGTTTTGGCAGTTAGCAAGTACAAGTACAAGTGCACACGTGTGTGTGTGTGTGTGTGTGTGTGTGTGTGCAAATGGCGCCAGGCTTACCGTTGTCTGCCAGACAAGCAGAACAGACCTCGACCATCACCGGTTGTGTGCCAAACTTGTCACCGCTCCTTCAGTCGTGTAAGCGACAGGAAGCGACACAAGTGTACAGCTACGCGTGCCCTACCCGTAAGCCAACAGCCAGGAAGCTGTCACTGCGATCAGTGCGACAGATGGTTCCGGAGCAAGGGTGGATTTGCCCGACACAAGTGCTCGCCAGCAACATCACCAGCAGAGGCATCTTCTGACACACTTGAGTCACCGGTTACAAACAATATGTCCTGCGAACGCTGCAGCTTCCACTACGCCCGCTGCAACCGCTGTGTGCTATCGCGCCAAGGCATGAAACGTCACAAGTGCAGCCGTGGCTCGGCCAGAGCAACCAACACAGACCGTAGCTCCTTCTGCATCGTTTGCAATTGCGGTCAGCGTTTCAGTAGACCACAGGACCTATCCCGTCATCGCCCCTACTGTTCCGAACCTGCTCAACCCCCCATGGGGTCCGCATAGCCAGAATATGGCAGCGCGTCCAAGGTCCAAGGTGTGTGTGTGTGCGGGGGGGGGGGGGGGGTGGTGTGTGTGTGTGTGTGTGTGTGTAAAAAATGGAAAAAAAATTGAAATGAAAAATAGGGATTCAATGGGCCGAGAAAAAGTCACTTCAAACAGCCGTGTGGTGGATACCAGGCTAAAAATAGTGGCGGTCAATTCATCAGCCTTGCAAGCTGTTGAATGGTGTAATCCCAGCACAAGTTGCTATGTCTAACATAGCTGTTCGCTATCATCGCTTCCGCGATGGGCATGTCTGAGGTGTGTGTGTGTGTGTGTGTGTGTGTGTGTGCGTGTGTGTGTGCGTGTGTGTGTGTGTGTGTGTGTGTGTGTGTGTGTGTGTCCCATATGGTGCAGTGGTATGTGCAGTCGATTTCCAATCGAGAGGTTGCGGGTTCAATTCCCGACGATTATGGTCGCACACATCTTTCTTCTCTTTCTCGGACTCTTCCTGACTTTTCTTTCATTCGCCTGGGTGGTTACCAACAGCCAGTGTATGCCGGAGTATGTGGTGTGTGTGTAGAAAAAAGAAAAAAAGAAAAAATGGAAAAATGAAAAATAGGGATTCACTGGCCAGAAAAAGTCACTTCAATCAGCTGTGTGGTGGATACGTACCAGGCTAAAAATAGTGGCGGTCAATTCATCAGCCTTGCAAGCTGTTGAATGATGTAATCCCAGCACAAGTTGCTATGTCTAACATAGCTGTTCGCTATCATCGCTTCCGCGATGGGCAGGTCTGAGGTCTGAGATGTGTGTGTGTACACATGTATGTTTATGTGTGTGTACATGTTTATGCCACCTCTAACCCGGATCTTCTTCTGCACATACAGCTGCATGCCATGTTTCACCGTGCCATCCGCTTGGTACGCATCATGGCTAAGGCCTGCCTTGCTATACGGGAGGACGCCATGGCAAAAACGGTAAGGACAGAGAATCCTTCAGTCAGAATCAGAAGGAACCTAGGCATTAGGCTTTGAAACTATGGCAGCCGCTGAACTTGGCTTGCAGGTCTGATTTTCGACGCCATTCACTACATTGGGGCATACATATTAAACGTGTCCCTATTTTCTAAAGCGGCAACCTACATCTTTCTTGTTGATGTCTTTCCACAAGTTTCCAGACCTGACCATTGCAAAAGGAAAACTCCACAACCATTTTGATAATAATTATCACCAAGTTATTGGTTGCCAAAAGCTCTCCTAGAATCAAGGGTCAGGCTTCTTGCAGTTTTATTTAGAAGAAAGGCATTTGAGCCTCCAATGCCTCTCTTCTGAAAGCTCTATGTTTCTCTGCCCAACGCAGCAGCCAAGACACTACTCAATATGAGCTCTCACACCGTCTCTCAGTGCTGCATAGATATATCTTCTCCGCCACCATATTTTCAGTCATTGCCCATCCGCAGGGAACAGTAAATCGATTGTGACGGAGAAGATACTCACACAGCGAAGAGGCCGTGGTTTATGAGTGTCAAGCGTTTAGTAAATCTCATATCATAGTGTGAGGAACACCAGATCCTCTCTATTTCTGAATTGTAGTCGAGATGTGTTTGTTGCAACCTCATTTGGCCTATTCCTGGGACAATAGTCACATGTTCAATGAATGGGTGATCATATGGTCATCTCCCAATGAAACACCCCGTTGTGTTCGTTTGTGCTTCGTAACGTGACCAAGCAATAGAGGTTGGGTGGATCACATCATTGTGTACTAGTACCATACGCTTTGTATGGAGTGAGAAATCAGTGCTAGCACTGATACGCCACAGTCCACACAAAGCATCTCCAATGATGATGTAATGACAATGTGCCAGTGATGTCATGATGACGTCATAATGATGTAGTTTCATAACCTCAATATGCTCCAAACCCACGGCATGCACACAAACACACGTGTTATTGTGGTCCTGTTAAGGTGGTATCCTCGTTGCAGTTGCAGCACGAGAAGCAGAGGAGAGAGGCCAACGACCAGGAGACGCGCATCGGTCGCCTGAAAGGCTCGGCCCACTCCAACCAGGAGTTCAGTATGGACGACCTGCTGGAGATGGATGTAAGTGGCGATGACAGACTGTACATGACTGCTGCAGATAGTGTCAAGAGTTTATAACCCGCCAAGAGTGTCTGACACCCTTTCTATGGGGTTCGCCGGCTGTGAAAACTCACATCACGTGGTGCGGTGTCGCAGTTGTACGTTCCAGCCATTTTTTAGCGAGCAGCGGAGTAATAAAAAAGCACTATCTGACAGAAACTCACTGTGCGTATGCATGATCATGGCAGATATTGGGATTGCGCGCACGCTACCCTTCGTTTGTACGTACAGTACGAAACGTACCTGAGACACATGATGTGAGTTTCCGCCGTCGGAGACCCCATATGCAGAGTTGTACACTCTTGGGAGGGGCGGGGGGGGGATAATTACACTCTTGGCAGTGCTGTGCGGGGTGGGGTGTGGAATGGGTGGGTGGGGGGGGGGGGGGTCACATGACTAGAGGTTGCTGAGATGGATGTAAGTGACCAAGACAGAGGAGGGTACCTGACTGCTGCAGATAGTGGTATCCGGACCAGGGGGGCATGCCTGGATACTACTCAGTATACACCATCCTGGACGACCATGGTCGAGTGGCAGTCTACAAGGGATTCGTGCGACCCCTACTTGAATATGCCCTGCTGGCCTGGGCGAGCGCAGCCACAACTAACATGGCCCAGCTGGATAAGGTACAGCAATGTGCCCTGCATTTCCTGGGACCTGGAACCATCCTCCAAAGTCTTCAGCTCCGCCGAAAGGTGGCAGCCCAGTCATACTTGTTCAAGCTGCACTACATTCCATGGCCTCCCCAGGTAAAGGCCATGCTGCCACCAACCAAGCCCCCTGCCGTAGCTAGCATATGCACACGGAAAAACGTCAGACGCACCATGGCTTCCAGCTGAAGTGGACACCCCCTCGCACAGCCCCTGACTACCTCCTGCGATCCTTCCCCTTCTTCGCCATCACACCCTGGAACAACCTGCCTGCGGACCTCCTGCTTCACGAACCTCATTCAAGGCGCCTCCAAACCTTCAAGGTCAACGTATGTAAGGATCTAACCCGAAAGAGATGGCTGTGGTCCACACAGTACCTGTGACGATGATATTGAGACCCACTTACCTTTCTACTAGTACTTTGCTTGTTATGATTATTGTTTTCTTTTTTCTTTTCCCCTTCCGGTTTAGTTATTCCACGTATTTATATAATTTGGTGCAATATTAGCGCCCCTTTCTCGCACCAAAGTATTATTTTTGCTACTTGACCATGCAACCCCCTTTTTTTCGATGCCAGCTTGCAACGCTAACGCCGAGACCCCTGGTCGGTTGAGTTGCTCCCTGTACATCTAGTGTCTGCTTCTATCAAAGCAGCGTGCTGTCCATACTGGTTACCTCAGCAAGTGTAGGGTATGCATAGGTACCGTATTTTTCCGGTTGTAAGTCGACCTTTTACGACTTAAAATAGAAGGAGAAAGGGTGGGGGTCGACTTACAACCGGGATTCGACTTATAACCGGTAACTATCAGTATCTTACAAAAAAAATGACCTGCACTGCATGCACGAGTGCACTATGTGTACACATTTTTTCCAGTTTATTGGTCTTTTCAAGGATTGGGATGTTATAACTTCCAATAAGGAATGTTTACATGATTTGTTGTTGTGTTAATAGCAGGGAGTGGTTAGTAGTGCTTCTTTGGGTGAAAACTTTAAAACGCAGAATTGAGACCTCCGGATACGGAGTCGACTTACAACCGGTAAAATACGGTAACTGTCTTGGCCGTTTTA